CATTGTATACATTGCTGAGTTGAGGGGTGGGTCAATATATATTATTTGGTGGTCAGCTAGGGGAGAGTATTTGAACAAATATTATTTACTGTACTAAGCGAAGTCAGAATTAAACAACTATTATGTGCAAATTTGAATTTTCGTCACCCATTTTGTTGTATTTCTGATTTTCTTTCTGCTAATAGCGCTATAGTGAGACTTTTAATTGGCCTTCCAGAGCCTCTCTTAACCTCTAGTGGGCTATATTACATATAAGCATGCTACAAAATTTACAAGTGTGAACTGCATTGTTTGAACAAACGGTAAATTACTATTGTGTTGTATGCTCAATTATTTATGTAAAACATGAAAATACAAATACAATATTCTTGCTTTCATACATTTACAAAGATAACTGAAATCGATATGCGTCAGATTATCTCTCTCTCTTTCTCCTTTTTTTTTTTTTAGGGGGGGGGGGTGTGCAGATGTGTGTGTTTGCAGTTTGCATGGTTTTGCATTATGTGTTTCATATTGCGAAAAAGAAGAAGAAGACAGAGAGAGAGAGAACAAAAATGGTTAGAAAGAGAGAGGAGGGTCGGGGACAGAGAAAGAGACAGAGAGGGAGAGAGAGAAAGAAAAGATGGCCATAGAGGAATTTAAAAAAATTAATATTATATGGAAACGAATCATTTACCAGTTACAATTTTGATGTGACAAAATGGCCAGTTGGGGAAACAAACGGGGAACTAGTTAAAATAATAATTGATTGGCCATTCTAACAAAATAACTATGTAGATCTAGAGTAATTACCAAGTATAAACTTAAGACTTTTAAATATGGAAAACAATATACAAGACAAAACTAAAATGGCAGGAAAGGAGGATATGTGCGACTTGCAATCAAATGAATTAATATATTAATCACAATAAAAACGTAATTCATATTAAATCATTATTATTATTAGGTGATTTTATTTATAAGAATTTGTAGCCCCCAAAACAATAAGACTCTTACAGTTAATTTATAAGAGCCCTTGACAACCTTAGATGTATTAATCTAACGAAGGTTTTCAGGTGCCGATGTCAATTTGTTCTGGGTCAGATTGAGTGCTTCACCACCATCACACAAATGTGAGTACGTGGGGCACTTTCTGCATCGGCGCGCCAGTTTGGTTCGATTAATTCATGAAAATGCAATTCAAAAGTTTATTTCAGAGATGTTCTAACCATCATCTTTTCAAGATTGCTCATTAAGATGTCCGGATCGTACTAAGAATGCTTAGTTTAACAGTTTTTTTCAATTCTTAACATTTAAACCCTAGCCCATGAAAATTATGTTAGAAACCCTATGGCTGAGACTAGTTTTACAAACCTTGGTCTGAGGTTTGGGAATTGCAGACCAAGGTTTATACAAACCTTCCTTTGTGGAATGGGTTTGAGGACAAACCAGGTTTGAGCTCAGACCAAGGTTTGTACAAACCTTGGTCTGATCAAACCGGGTTTGTCCTCAGACCTCCGTTGTAAATTCGGGCGAATATGAAAGCCATATGCAACCCAAACCGAATCTTCGACGAAACAAAGCCCGGAGGAATTGTTGCATGAAGGATAGGACTCGCGGATATTCACTGTGCATTATGAAGGTGTAGTACATGCATGAAAGTCTGATAATTATGAAAATTAGCCCATTTAGAGGAATATTAAATCGTCGTATGCATTCTTATTCCCCTGAAAAAACGTATCCTCTATCTATAACTTTGCAATGAAGTTTCTAATTCGGGCATAATAACCTTTTTTTTTTTAATTGTAAAGATTTGTTTTTACAATTTAAAAAAGATCTTTACAATTAAAAAAAAAAAAAGGTTATTATGCCCGAATTAATTTAATTCGGGCATAATTACCTTTTTTTTTTAAATTGTAAAGATTTTTTTTAAATTGTAAAAACAAATCTTTACAATTTAAAAAAAAAAGGTTATTAAATTGTAGAGATTTGTTTTTAAAACCATATCTTGGCTTCTTATTTAAATGAAATTCACTATTATACAAACATATAAATTACAAATTGTTTAACATGGTGTTTCAATATGTCAACCTTATACAAACATTGTATTTTTGCTTGTGCTTTTTAATCATCATATCATCATCATTTTTTTAAAAGATAGCCTCACCTCTCTTTCTAATTCTTTCTTTAATTTTCTTTCGATATGTCTCAGACATTTGTACAACCCCTACTCATATCTCTGGTATTTGAGAACTACTGAAATTGTTTTGTTATTATATGTTTTCTAAAATATAACAATATACTTTTAAAAAACGAAGAATACAAATGTGCCATCTTTACGTATTCAGATACTTTGCCCGTAGTTTCATGACCGTACTAGACCAAACAATTAGCAATTTTAATATATATAACAGAACATTGGAATTAGATCACATTATCATTGTAATTGACACGTTATCATTTAGTATGGTTGGTTGGAGCGAATACAACACAGAACAAAACAAAGAAACACACAAACATACAAACCAAAACTTGAATGCGGGGTATGCACTATTTGTTAGATAACATTAGTGTGGAATTTGTCAGCGGTGGGATATACTTTTGCCGATTTTCGTCAAAATTTTGAAAAATATGAAGTAAAGGTTTCAGAAATGTTTAGGGTCTCTGATGTGACTCGTGTCATAGTTAGCCTATTCAATATTTGCCTTTTCTCCTTCTGTTTATGGTATCGTTGTCTTTGTGCTTATAATTAATGTTTCTTTTCTTTGATTGAAACTTGTATTCTATGTGTGTTTAAAAAAAAAAAAGTATATTTGATTGGCTTGATGCATTTACTACATACCGGTTAGATTTGCCTGTTAAATGATCTTTATTAGCAATGGTTATTTGCTTTTTTTCCTTCATAAATACCTACTTTTTCTTTTGACTTAATACATGAACAAAAGAACTGACTAAACTTATAATTCATTGCTAAAGGATAGAAAAAGCGCGATGGCGCAATGGAAGAAGGGTGGTTTCGTAACCTGGGGGTCCCGGGTTCAAACCAAGTCAATACGCTCATGTCCTTTGGTAAGGCATTGGTGTCAAAGATGTATCAAAGCTTACTTGATAACGAGTAAAAATCTTCAAATGATTCGTTTATTGAAAACAAATATTGAATGTTGAATATATTGAATATTGTCTAATAGTTTAGAGATGAAAAACAAACAAACAAACAAACCAAACAATCTACATTAAGCATTGAAAATAACAATTGATAGAGCCAACCCGAAACCGGTCATTTGACTAATTCTGTTAGCTACAACACACTGGTGTACTGGTGGGGGTACCCCCCCCCCCCCCAAAAAAAAAAAAAAAAAAAAAAAAAATTAAACCATGACTTATTTTCAATTCCATACAAGTGATTTATAAATAATGGTGATATCACATGATTTTCAACAAAATGTGCGTTTCTTCATTTTTGTTGCAAACTGAGACATTCCCAAGTAGCCAGGAAGAGCATATGTTTTTTTTTTAATAGTAGCTAATGGGCCTTAGTGGCCAGTAACAGTAGTGGAAAATTCCATTTAGAAGCTACTGCGACAAGCACTGCCGGGAGATAACATGCTACCCACCACTCAGGCTGCGCATGCGCAGATAAGCGAACGAACGTTCCATACGTACGTCATGTACATTTATGCTATTCCCCTCCCTCCCCTTTAAAGTGAGAAGGCGGCCTGTTAAACTCGCCAAAGTGCCTAGTTAAGGCCCAGAAGGCGAGAAAGCGAGAAGGCGACTTGTACAATTTACCAATGCGCCTTCGTTAATTCAAGAAAGCGGAAAGACGACTTAAAACTCACGCAGGCAACTCGTCTTCTCGCCTTCTCGTCAAACAAGGTGTCATGGTGAGTTTTTAACAACTTAGTTTCTCACCTTCTTTTTTTAAACGAGCCGCCTTGGCAATTTAAACAAGCCCCCTCCACGCTGCAGATTTAAACTTCTCTTCAATAGCGCCTTCTCAGGGTAGCTCGGTTAAAGCCGGGGTAATAATAGTGCAGCGTTCAGAAAGATAACTAGTAAGCTCTTTTTAATAGTTGTTGTTGTGGTAGTGATGCTGGTGCTAGTTCTCCTTCTTCTTCTTCTTCTTCATTTTCTTCTTCTTCTACTTCTTTTCTTCTTCTTCTACTTCTTTTCTTCTTCTTCTACTTCTTTTCTTATTATTACTATTACTGTTATTGTTATCGTTATTCTTACTGATATTATTGTTATTAATATCAGTATTACCAATATTCTTATTATAGTTTTATCATTATTAGTATTAGTAATAGTAGAAGTAGTATTATAAAAATTTAGTATTAATATTTTAAGGATTGACATTATTATCATTATTATTATCGTTATTGTGCTCATTATTTGTATTACAATTATAATTTGTCGTCATCGTCTCAGTAGCATATCTACACATTTGTATTTACTATACTTTTTATTATTTATCATGCTTATATAAAGCAAAAGGGATGTTTGGGAATAATTTGTAAAAAGAAATTTGATAAGGAATCGGTGTCCACTAGCCGAGTCTTAAAAGGTCGTTTAAGAATCGTATAGCCTGTCTGAACACATTTTTGGAAAGACTACAATTCGTGAAAATGAATAATATAACAAAATGTTCAGTTTTACATTTTTATTGATATATGCAACTTATCATCAATTACATCTTTTCAATTTAATTTCCTTAGACTTATATCACATACACCTAAATCTCTTTCGGTTATGTAGGTCACTTTAACGTAAATCCCTTACACTTACAACATCACTCGGAGTTACCTTTCTTACACTTAGTTCACGTACAACTGAGTTCACTTACACTGAGTTTACTTAAACTGAGTTCACTTACACTTAGTTCAATTACAATTACACACTTACACTTACATTTCCTACACTGAGTACACTTACAAAAAAAAAAATCACTTACACTTTACACTTAGTTCACTTACACTTAGTTAAATTACAATTACACACTTACACTTACATTTCCTACACTGAGTACACTTACAAAAAAAAATCACTTACACTTAAATTGCTTACACTTAGTTCACTTACACACTGAGTTAAATTACAATTACGACACTTACACTTACATTTCCTACACTGAGTACACTTACATTTAAATCACTCACACTTAAATTGCTTACACTTGGTTCACTTACGTTTATATTTGTTATACCTGTTTCACTACCATTTAATACATCACTTAAACGTACATTCCTTACATTTCGTCCACTTACATTTACATCACTTACATGTACATTCATTTAATACACTGTGTTCACTTACATTTACAAATTACTTATATTTCTAACACTTACATATACATCACTTATACTTACATTTCCTTCACTTAGTTCACCTAGATGTACATCAATAGCATGTAAATCACTTGCATTTACAACCCTTGCACATAAATCCCCTACTAACCGCTCCAGAGGCATTTAAAATCCTAGCATAGTTTCGAGATGGGTTTGCAATTGGGTTTTATTTAGGTTTAGGGTTCTGGGTATATATTATGTTTTTGCTAGGGTTAAAGCATGGATATAACCTTGTATACGGTAATAGTTCGATGGTTTAAGTTTGGAATTCAGTTAGTGTAGTATATTAATATTGGATTAATAATTATTGTCGTCGGAAGATGTGTTGTATAGGGTAAAATTAATTCATGATGGACAATTACATTTATGTTGAGACAACAAGGCGATGGGCTTCTTTTATAACATCTTCCTCATCAGAATCTTATTTGAAGATATTTGTTTACATGACAAATGGAAAAGTTGTCCGTGCCTATGTCTCAATCCACTGACCAAATTGCCAATTTAAGAATTGCATAGATGTAATGATTCATAGTTTAAAAATTCATAACTTTCTTACTAACGGTCTGATTTATTCAAAATGTGCGCTATTCTGTGTCTCTGACTTGATACTAATAAACTTATCACAAAGGTTAGACTGCCCTGAAAGAATTCCTTTGTACTGCCTTCTCTCCTTCTTTAACTACAATTACAGTAGCATGGGCGTGGCCAACTGGGCGAGGTCACATGTTTGTGGCCTAAACTGACTATCCCACTCGGCAGGATTTGAGCCCCTCGCAAGTCTCAAGAGAGTCCAAGATGGAGCCTAAGATTTGAAGGAGGATCTCTGAGGCCTGACGCAGGACCGTCATACACTGGTTTGAGGAATGGAAGAAAATAAGATGGAGAGACAGTCAGGGGCGTCGTATTTTGAATGGGAGTGTTGGATAAATGTTGACGACAAAATATTCGACATGTAACCCGTTATTAACGAACAAGCAAAAAGCAAGGGTCATCGGACTACCAAATTTGCACACAATGCTTAAAGACCGATCCACATATTTAGTTTGACAACACAGTTTTACAAATATTTCCTTGCTTCCGCAATAGGAATCATTTTTTCTTCTATGCAGACATAAAGGAAATTGGTATTGAAAGTGAGAGGAAATTTGGATTTAATTGATATCAGTTAATGATCATTGTATACGATAGCAAAATGAACTCATAACATATCTGAAAGAAGATCACATTATTTTGAAGCAAAATCATTCGTTTGTCAATGTGCTTTTTTTTAAATTTGAGATTACTATAAGGGTTTATCAAAATATGTAATCAAACTTCAAATTATTATTATGTTCATGGAAAATCCATGTATAATCTCTCTTTTACATGATTTTTTTTCACTTACTATCTTTAAACTACTTATTACCTTTCGCTGATCCCCTTTTCCAGGAAGTGAGCGGCATAGAAGCTTCCGCATAGGCGCTCCGTCCTGACCAGTCCGCAGCTAAATGTGATGACGTAACAAGGAGAAAACACCATAAGTTCATTCTCATATTGACGAAAACATGTAAAGTAATAAATGTGCTACTGTACTGTGCGAGCAAGCCTAAATTCGATAACTGCGGAATAAATTCATGTAAAGCGCTTATAAACGTATATATATTAAGAATATCGTTTTCATTGTAAGATGTGCAATATGCTTTTCTTCCTTGTTTCTGTCTCAGGCATGTTAACCATTTGATTGAAAACCTTTATGTAAAGATCTGCAAGGAGTTGATTTATAACTCAAACTAGTGAGTACAGCGTAATTAAATGTAATTACTAATCACCAACGAAAACTATAACAAGATATGACGATTGGTTTTGGAAGAATTACAAAAAGAATTACAAGCTATCGGTGCTATCTATACACAGAGTTTGCCAAATTGGTTTCACTTGGTCACAATGTAATATATATTTTATTATCGTATGCCTCCTCAACAAAGCAGATTTTGCCATATTGTGTCCAGCTCGAACGGGCCGGGTTGGCCGAACTCTAGTCAATGGCCCGGCAATCTATCACTTTAAAGCGCCCTCTGTCGTTACTTACCAGTGTGGCGTTCGAGGAGTCGATCGCGATTCCCAGTTTGCACAGCTCACACTTCAGCTGTAAAAGAAATGAATTCGGTGGTTTAATTACCGTATAAGCTTACGTTATTGAGCAGGTTTTTGTCTTTCTAGAGGTTACGTCAAAGATTTGTTGTATCCTTGCAAAATATACGTCAATATTTCGATGAAGGCTACGATTTACATACCTTCCAAAGTGATTCATATAAACACGATCGCAAAGACTTTCGAAAAATCAATTCAAGGGCAGTCCAAAAATCCTATTAAATATCATGTTCGGAGTACATAATACGTCATTCATACAAATATCGTCTTCGGACATTTCAACAGGAGAATCGTATGCAATCGTATTCGATTCAGCTGCGATCCGATTTTATAATATTAAATAGCAACATCAGATATGGAAAGTTAAGCAAACATAATACATACATACATACATATGGATATTTATATAGCGCCTTTACAAGAACATGCTCAAGGCGCTTTACATTTTAAAATAAAAATAGAATAGTTATATACTCTCCAAGTGCATTATACTCTCAAAAATAACAATTACAAAGAAAACAAATAAATATTTGTTTTTAAATTTCTCTTAAAGTAATCTTCTTGTATTAGTTTCTGAATAATGATATCAATACTAAAAAATGTAATGTCGTGCTTCGTAAACCTTTAAGTCGGAGTAAATTTCAAATTTGCTACAAATTGTATTTAAAACTTGCATCACTGGTCTGATGTTAGTATTACTCAGAGCTGATTTGTATTTTCTTCCTACCAAAAAGATTGCAATATGCAGAAAATCCGAATTTACGAATCATTATGCAATTTCCGAATCGTGACCATTATTATTTTTGTTAACGTATTTAGCTATTCATATCAAATGCTCTTTCGAATTACTCTCAAATCGGATCGCAGTCACATGGTATGCGGTGTGCTTTAATGGACGCCAATTTTCAGGTTTTAACCTGAAATAAGACACGAGTCTTGATTTGCAAATGAACTTTCATTTTTCCTTCAAATGAGGAAATGATTTCGACAAGTGATTTGGTCTTCATTCTACACAAAATAAAGCATGCAATGAGAAATGAAGAAGAAAAAAAGGTAGTCTCTTACACTCGATGCGGCCTGCTTCATGTATGCGTCTGTTTCCTCAGGCAGGTTAGAGGAAGGATTGAGGGTTGGGTTCATGTACTCGAAAGGATTGTCCTCCTCTTCTCCATAGATACCTGTATATCAATACGCAAATTAGAAAAAAAATAATCTAAGATTTTGCGACAACATTCAAGATATATTTCAACAGGATGTAACGACAAAAAAAAAAGCATAAATGTTTAAAATGCTATCTTACACCTTTATTTTAACGCCCCTGGTTAAACATTTTGAAAAACCCCTCTGGGGGTATGATTGTTATCTTGTATTGATTGGGTTAAAAACTATTTTCAGGTAATCATTGATTAGACTAGACGTATTATTGTTTTCTCTTATAGGATTGCTGCTATAAACTTACGTGACCCCCCCCCCCCCCCTGGGACATCTCTGTAGACCGATAGGCCAACAGACCGATTTTCCACGAGACCCATGAGCTTTGAGACCGACAGCCCACGAGATTGATACTGACGGTCTAGTAAACTCGAATTGAAATCTCCCACCCCTGGACACCCCTCCCCTTTTCGCGGGCATACTCGTCCACAATCTGGCAAAGATCTCCCGCTACTTGTTGCGAGCCGAAGATGGCGTTCTCCCCGAATTTCTCCGCCCGGCGAAATTGGATCACGCTGTCTCCGGCTTGCAGCAGGTAGAGATGGGAAAATATGGATGGTGAAATTAAAGAAAACCAGCCAGATTCTGGACTACGACATGAATGTCCTCTGATTTATCGCTTTTGACAGAATTACACCGGCCAAAACAAGGAATCTCGAGTGACGTCATGCAATAACTGCACTGTGTATCATCCGAAGGATTGATAAGCCTATTTTAATAATGTACATAGCAGGTTTGACCGGGACGATACATCCCCAGTACCGTGTGAGTCAAAAAACAGTTTACACCTAGAAAATTGCTAATTATTTAAAAAATCATCTTTGAACAGTAAATTATTATACATGAAAGAGCGTTTTATTCTAAATCATTATGTATCATTTTTGTGTGGTATGTGTTCACGCTTGGATGAACAGTAGGCATTGTTTGCGAGAGTGCAAAAATCGACTTGCGCCAAAGTGATGCCTACAGCATGTATTATGTTGGGATTAAAGTGAGAGAGTGAATTGAATGTATCAAATGAGATGCATGTTTTTAGCAGAAACAAAGTCACACACACACACACACACGCACGCGCACAAATGTTTATTGATATTTGATATTCGATATTTGATGTGTGTGGCATGATTAATTTTGTTAGGGATGTCATTTGGATCTGCAGTGACCGAATTAATACCTAAATCCCAATTGTTTTATTCACCATCACATAAGCGACTTTGGCGCAAGTCGATGTTTGCAATCTCGCAAACAATGACTCATGTTCATCCAAGCGTGAACACATTAATGATTCGGGATAAAACATTATTTCATAAGATGTTTAATAATTTACTGTTCATAGATGATTTGTAAAATAATTACCAGTTTTCTAGGTGTAAACTTTTTTTTGACTCACACTGTAGTGGTCCAGCGAAGCAAAGGCGCACAGAGTTTCCCAGCTAGGAAGTATTACGTCTTGACTACTTCGACCGATCAAACTAAAGAACCAGACTTTATGCGTCAGGAACTTTTTTTACAGTTTTATTTTTCCACTTTAGTTAAACATTAGGCCTACTGTTACATAATATATTGCTGATTAACATTAACAGTTCTTTTTCGGGGGGGGGGGGGGGGAGGGGGTAGTATTGGCAGCATTATCCCTACTTAAAGGTACTATGTCCCTTTTGCAGCCAACCTCAAATGCTGTAGAACTTTGCAGGAATAATGAATATGTCATGTATGTCCTATCTGTGAAATTTAAACGTTAGTAGTGTCCTCATATTCAAATTATGCAAGGAAACCCGTTTACTTGCTAGACTTCACTGTCAGACACTATTGGGTGACTGACTGGTTTTTTTCTTCTTTGGTAAAACAGACATGAAAAGACTTGTAAAGGGTACATGAGCATTTGTCTACATCAATAACCCACTTCTTGTGATGGCCAAGATTAAACTGATTGAATCTTTGCGCAGCATAAAACGGATGACCATTCGGTACAATTATCTGAAAATCAAGACTATTACTTTTGAGCTCTATAGCTCGATTTGACAACTAATATTCGTTATTTTCCCACTCGAAGACATTTTCAAGCCCCCATTTTTTTAGGGAAGTTCTAAATTAGTATTATCTTTCAAATGCAGTTGGAATTTAACTTTTTCATTTTTTTGGCCTGCAAATGGGACATAGTACCTTTAACTATAGCCTATATTCATCCCTGAAATACTGATCCCTTTGTGTTTATTATTGGTATTGAAATTGTATATTAATTTCTTCATAAAGCAACGAATTTTTGTGTTAAAAATTACAGCATTGCCTATATGAATCGTATTTGAAACTAAGGAGACAGCAAGTGTTGATGTTCAGATATGTATCTTTGACAAGGAAGTAATCGGAGAAAGAAGATCTACAAGGTAAATTTTTTGCTGAATGTAATGAAACCAACAAACTATGAAAAAAAAAAAACCCTAAAGCACCAGACTAGGCGTAACTAGTCAAATTTAACTGAGCGCCAAAAATACAACCGACAACAAAAACAACATCAACAACAACTCTGGACTACCTACATACCTGCCGTGTACCTCTCTGTGGAGGCAATATCACGTTTCCGTCGGCCGAACACTAATAAAGGTGCCAGAGCGGGCAAGGCTGCATACATCCAAGCAAGGAACGCAACCGCAAAACCACCCGCGACAATGGGGGCAACTTCAGCTGCATCGGCGATTGTAGGGAAAGAGATATCGTCTGATTTAGGTGACATAACTGAGGACATTAAGATTAGCATCTTGCACGTACTAAATATAGAAAATGTAAGTGGAATTTGCTGTTGTAGTTACCTTTTGTGTTATTTGTGTATTCTTAATGTCCTATTGATTTGTAAGATTTTAATTGTGAACAAAAAGTCATCTAATGTCGCCAAAAGTAATGATAACTAAGGAGACGAGGAGGTATGTGCCCAAGCCAAGCCAAGAAAAAAGAAAAGGGCCTGTTTCATGATGCGACCTATTTGTAATTGTTATTGCAAGAACCGTAGGATATTCGATGTTTTCACAAAGCCTTACCTACTCTATCGAGGTTTTGACGATGATTAGATATAGGGACGAGACCTTGTGAGGAAGAACGTGGTGGACTCGGAGGCCTACAGAAGCCTAATTCTTCACATATTGTCTTTGAGGTCTGAGGAAAAATAATGAACAAATATGTTCAAAAGGAAGATTATATTAATGTTGGCAACATGACAATACACATCAACTCATTTTAGTAGTAGTAATAGAAGTGGTAGTATTAGTAGTAGTATAAGTAGTAGAAGTGGTAGTTTGGGTAGCACTAGTATAGTAGTAAAGTAGTAGTAGTACAAGCAGTAGTAGATGTGGAAGTTGTAGTAGTACAAGAAGTAGTAGTAACATGTTCATTATGATTTTGTTTGTAGTAGCAGTTGCAGTGGTATTCTTTTTTCGTAGAAGTAGTAGTTTTTGGAGTAGAAGTGGTATTTGTAGTAGTATGCAGTAGTATCAGAATCAGAAGAAGTAATAATAATACTCAGTTTTTATATTTTCTGTTCCATTATTAACCCGGCTTTAGCTGTGTTGCCATTACGTTGCTCTAGCATTTTAAAGAATTAATTCCTGCCAGTTACCCATTTACATCAGCTAGCTTGAGCGTGGCGAATGTAGATCGATCTCTTGCTAAAGGACATTAGTGCCGCGGCGGGTCTCGAACTGCGGACCTTGTGATCGACAGTCCGGCGACTTAAACACTCGACCACGATACCTCTAGTAGTAGTTATGGTAGTTATAGTAGTATTGATAGTTGTAGTAGTAGTAGTAGTGGTAATGGTAGTGGTGGAAGTAGTAAAGAAGTAGGAACTGTTCACAAAAATAAAGACGAGTATATTCGTTAAAAAGTGCCTTACTTGAGGGTATCTATTATTTAAACATATTGTGGCTTACACCCAGTAAATAAGATCGATTGATAGATCTGTATTGAAAAAAAGTCAGAAAAAAAATCTTGGATCCAGCGGGACTTGAACCTGCATCTACTGCTTGCCGGGCAGCGACTCTACCACCAGGCCATCACTGGTCCATGGCACAGTCAGGATGAACTAGAACAAATACCAAAGCTCTCCTGATTCATTCTGTCTCATTAATATTCATTAGTCCGCCGTAGGACAATAACTTTTATAAATGTAATGCTTCCTGGGAGAAATTTCAATTATTTAAACATATTTGTTGCTTACACCCAGTAAATGAGATCGATTGATCGATCTGCATTGAAGGTATCTATATGTCTGAGCAACACTTGGGCAGTATTTTTTTTTTTTTTTTTTTTTTTTTTTTTTTTTTTTTTTTTTTTTTTTTTTACTTAACTCGATATCTTTAAGATTTTGACTTCATATAAATGTTTATTTTTAATTTTAGGAGAAGCGCAGAGTTATTAACTTACCTGCAGCGCATCGGAAAGCAAATCCTTAGCATCAGCAAAGTCCGAACACATGTCTCTGGCTTGCCTGCTGACTGTATCTTGGCAACGTCTCTGCCAAGATGAACAAATAATTATATGAATGTGATTTTATTTTATTTGCTTTCCGTTTCCGTACAAACGTATACATGACAATATCAATGATAATACTGATGATGATGACGGTGATGATGTTGATAATATGAATAAATATATATGAATATAATAGTTATTTGGTTTTATTTACCAGGGTTAGCCACATAAGCATTACTACTCTTCCTGAATGCCCTGCATTATTTTTATCCCTTTCACCAGGTACCCATAACAACAAATTATTCCATTCTGGACTATTTCTTCATTTCTGGACTGTAAAAAAATACAGAAAATGCTATGAAATCCTTGTTTATTTGATCTTTTATTAACCATCAAGTTACAAATCTCTGTTATTAATTGGTAGAAATAAAGGTAAATGTTCCTTTTTATTTCCTATTTGCAAGAACAAAATAAAAATTCATCTCAACCTCTCTACATGACCATGCATTCACTCTCTTTCCTTGTACCTCATCTTAAAACACAAAGCAATTAAAACAAACCAGAAAAATTGTATTCATACAGGGATGCATTTTATTTTTATTTTATTGTTTAAATCACCAATTGACAGGTAACATATTTACAAATGTCATATTCATTCCTTATCAAAATAATAATGAATAAAAAAGATAATTGACAGGTAACATATTTACAAATGTCATATTCATTCCTTATCAAAATAATAATGAATAAAAAAGATATTACCATTCTACAGGGCACTAAATGGTATAAGCGTTATACCAATCTACAGAGCACTAAATGGTATAAGCGTTATACCAACCTACAGGGCACTAAATGGTATAAGCGTTATACCAATCTACAGGGCACTAAATGGTATAAGCGTTATACCAATCTACAGGGCACTAAATGGTATAAGCGTTATACCAATCTACAGGGCACTAAATGGTATAAGCGTTATACCAACCTACAGGGCACTAAATGGTATAAGCGTTATACCAACCTACAGGGCACTAAATGGTATAAGTGTTATACCAACCTACAGGGCACTAAATGGTATAAGCGTTATACCAACGTACAGGGCACTAAATGGTATAAGCGTTATACCAACCTACAGGGCACTAAATGGTATAAGCGTTATACCAACCTACAGGGCACTAAATGGTATAAGCGTTATACCAATCTAAAGACCACTAAATGGTATAAGCGTTATACCAACGTACAGGGGCGTACACAGGATTTTTTTTAAGATGGGGTTTTAAAATCTGAAAATAGCGCCAAAAATTTTGCAACGACTCAAAATATTTTAAATCATTTTTTTATAAAAATTGACATTTTTTTAAAATTCTAAGTTTTTTTTCTTCCCAAAAATAGGATTAAAAAAAAAAAAAAAAAAATTTGATGCATGATATAAAACAAATATACCCCTCAGCAAATTGTACTATCAGAGTCGCCTCTTGCGCATAGTTTTAACCAGAACCTATCAAGACAGTGTATATTTGTATACTACAGAGCACTAAATGGTATAAGCGTTATACCAATCTACAGAGCACTAAATGGTATAAGCGTTATACCAATCTAAAGACCACTAAATGGTATAAGCGTTATACCAATCTAAAGACCACTAAATGATATAAACGTTATACCAATCTACAGAGCACTAAATGGTATAAGTGTTATACCAACCTACAGGGCACTAAATGGTATAAGCGTTATACCAACCTACAGGGCACTAAATGGTATAAGCATTATACCACTTACAGGGCACTAAATGGTGTAAGCGTTATACCAACCTACAGGGCACTAAATGGTATAAGCATTATACCAACCTACAGCGCACTAAATGGTATAAGCGTTATGTTAACCAACATGCTTTCAGATATCATGTAGAATTCTTGATACAGTAACAAAATTATAAATTCAACCAGTATATATATATCCAGTATATAGTTAAAAAAATCATTGTTTTAAAGCCAAAGTGATATTGATCTACAAAGGACACTATACAGCATAATCAGATTATTATTGAGATTTTAAGCAATTTAGCCTTGTTTTGGCCTGTGATAACACTCATAGATGCTTCAATCATATACTTTTTAACCAAATCCATGACCCCATGATAACACGTTGTATTATCTTTAAAAGCAACCTGTAAACTGACATCACTGATTTTCGCTAATGTTTTTCTTTCTGTAGAAATATACATTCCAAGTATCTTCAAAAAAGCTACATCCCACGTGCAAAACTTTTGGAGATAAATTAATACTCATACAGGAAAAATGTTGTTTTAAATTAACAGTTGACAAGGAATATCCTCTGGTCTCTGCTCTAATACATACTAGATAAAAACTTGAGCCAAACAAAATATTTCAGAGCAGTTGCAAGGCGAACAAATTATCACATATGTTACACACATGTACCTCAAATTTAATGTACTAAAGTTCATTCTTTTCTGTAGCAATAATGAAATCAATATCATCATAGTGATTATTTTATAACAAATCTGTTTAAACATGATTATTGAAGAAAAAATGAATTTGAGTTGTATGCTTACAATAGAAAAACTAAAATTCCTTTATTTCTATTATTTGTCTTTACAATCACTATTGTCTTGAAAATCCTTGCAGAATTGTGCGTTAAATGAAACCCCTATGTCAGTACGCATACTATGTGGATTATTGCCATCAAATTTGTGGGGGTCCCAACACTATAGAAGGGCTTTAACTAGACCTAATACCCCTCAAAATAAAGCAGAAACCTACTCAAAATAATCCCAATGTTTCTCCCTCAACCCATTCACTACCTGAAGTGGCAGTTTGTCTCCAGCGGTCAGAGTGAAAGGAAGGAGAATTACACTATCCCTTGGAATGGTCTCAACCCAAACCTGCTTCCGGCCACGCTGTCCTGTGACAGCAACCATCATCTTCTTCCATTTTGTTGTCAATGTCCCTGTAAACCATTCTAGTACAAGGCCATCCTCTGTGACCTTGTCCACACGTCCTATCTGTGGCCAGTGTGTGCTATACGCCTCGATGTAGGTGGCCACCATATCTCCCTCCCGTATTTCTGTCCTCCTCTCCTTCCTCCCTTTGGGTCCAAGATGAACCTGAGCAAACAGACAAGCATAAACCAAGTATCCATACATGTATCTTTAAATAATCGGAAGGTAGTTACAACTTGTAGAAAAAAATCAACTGCGTGCAGTTGAGATAAAGGGTTTCCCGTATATGACACAATTGCCTCAGACTTGTCATGATTAAACATTCCCTGTATATTAATTTTAAAGGGACATGGTAACATTGTTTAGATGAATGAAAAATACTGCTAAGGTAGTGAATTCAATGCTTCCGTACAATCAAAGACAATCTGAGTTTTAGTGAAAACTGATCTGATTTATTGATAAATTCTGCCAACTACATTACTTTAATAAAACTAAAATCAAGGTTAATGCAAATTGTTATAAAGCAATGTATAGACTCTTTATACCATTTTAAACATTTGAGTCATGAACGATTTTGAAAGCAATGTTTTATGTCATATTTACAAGTAAAAACAATTTGAAAATTGACAGGGGGATTTTACATATCCCACTTTCAAAGAAAAGCATATGGTTGTGGTTTGTGGGTTTTTCAGGAATCTTTGCATGTTAGAGGGTTTGTACAGTAGTAGGAATATAACAAGTAACATTTCATATGAAAATTAAGCATTTTTTGTCATCAACCTTCAACAATGCTACCAGTTCCCTTCAACACTAACCTGCATTTAAAGATACCCAATTTAATTGAGATATCTCTTTCGGTTCTATCATATAATTGTTTCATGAACTTTGACCAATGATCTATTTAATTGAGATATCTCTTTCGATTCTATCATATAATTGTTTCATGAACTTTGACCAATGATCTATCTACCCCAAAACTTAATCATATCATCCTGTCATAGCCATGCATACCAAGTTTGTTTATGCTCTCCTAATCTGGTCTAAAGTTATTGCATTAACAAAAGGACAACACAAAGACATAACGTCTTCAACAGTGCCATATATAGAGGTTTTTGTTTTCATTTGTATTTACATTGGAGATCTGTAATTTCTTGAACTAAGATTAGTATTGTTCCTAATGCATTCCTTCTTGCATTTTTAGGGGTTCAGGGGCCCACAAATCAACATTTGAGGTTGTGAAAGTGGAATGTGTTTTAGGTTGCATAAGAAACAATGCAATATATGAAGTTGAGCACTTCTATAGTATAATAGTATTCTATAATTGAAAAATGAAACTTTAACAGTATTAAGCTAGGTGTTCATGTGATAATATCCTAGTTTATTTCTGCATGATAGAAAAATACCTGTCTGTATGGTTCCTCCTCTATGATGTCAGCATGCACTTCCTGCTGTGGAGCATTCACTGGTTGACTGACCGCTAGCAGCAAGTCGCAAATGGGCCACCTCACTGTTGCATCGTCTTCTGTAGATGAATAAAGAAGAGCATGTATTCAAGAAAATTAATAACATAAGTTTACTGTTCACTATATAGTGCATCAATAAATATCAGATATAAATCCCTAAAAAATTAATCAAATACATTAAGTAGTATACGAAATACACAAATAACTAGAAATATCGCAATCTGTGTTGTGGCGCACTGCGAATGTATCCCCCAACAGTGGCAGCGGTTTTTGTGTCATCCTTATGTTCGAAGGAGGGACAAAGATCCTCTCTTCCTTCCCTGAAATCTAAAACTTGCGACAAACATTGTGACAAACATCAGCATGAATCTTTTTACCTTCACATTCCTCTTCCTCTAAGGTTAGGAGCTCACAAAGTGACCTCCACGCCTCAATGTCCCCTGGCTGGAAATATGGTCGCAGCTTCTCTGCCCCCCTCTCGATTTGTTGAATGTCGATGTCTGTAAAAGACTTCTTCACCAGCCTGGGTTGTCCATCTGGAAGTGACGACAGAATGCGGGTCAGGCCTGTTGTGTCGCACCAATGTGGAGATGTGGACCAGTCTTTGGTTTGGAGTGTGGCTTTCCCGGCTTGATCTAGGGTGAACTTGAATATGTGTGGCTTGCTGTGATAGGCCATACTATGTTGGTGGGGCAGAAGCCAGTCGCGGACATCAAAGATGTGCAGAATTCGCTGGGCAGTTGTCATAGTGTGAGTGTTGAATGAGGCAGGGATGGCTTGTAGTAGTTTGGGAAATGTCGTGATGCTGTGCTTTTTAAGGTGGGTAGAGATTCGAGAAAAGAACTGATCCACATCTTCGTGTGTGTGTCCAACCATTAAGAAGCCAACCTTGATCTGCATTTCAGGAAGATAGATTAGATAGAAAAAAAACATTAAGATTAGATTTTTTTTATTATTGGTAATTATGTATTCAGTTTGTTCATAAAAGTTAAAAACTAGCATAAATGTTTGTTTCTATCCAAGAACAAGGAAAGATTTTAGTGTCGCTCATCGCAAAAAAAAACAACATGTTTACCGTTTTTACAACTGAAATGACTGAATGTTATACGTGAGGTCTTGAAGATGTACATAACTGAATAGCAGATTCCGCATCAGGTATGGAATGCAATTCAATTACTTATACTGTATTGTACTGTAGTATAAACTTGTAAAAAAAGAGTTAAGATATTAACAATGTTTATGGTCAAGTTCTAGAGGAATCTAATTTTAAACTAACAGGTATAAATTTAAAAAAGCAATTTTAAAAAGTTTGTATGTAATCCATTAACAGGTTTCCAGAATATCTTGATTAGGCTAATTTTTTATACACCTGGCTCTGCAAGATAAATACTTGTCCTAAGTTTGATAGTAATCCATCTGTCGGCTCTTATGATAATGCGTTCACAAGCTATTTATAAGCATGCATAATGAACCCCATGACCTTTGACCTCATGACGCTAAAATCAAATCAGTTTATTAGCTCTACAAGATACTTATACATGTCTTGAGTTTGAGTTTCAAGTACCCTATGGCTTTAAAAACAAAAGAGAAGGCAGCTAGCTTTTGGTTTCCTTATAATTTTAATGACATTATCAAAGTATTGCCATTATTGCCAAGATGTTCACCGGGTATAACTTGAAAAAGGAAATTGCAATTGGCCTATGTTTAAAGAATATGTAGTGATTATTTAAAGGGATTTGTTCACCTTTTTGAAGATATTGAGCTCCACTAAGAGAGAGAGAAAGGCAAAGACGTGTCGATTCTTGTTCTCCCTTGCTGTGTTGTCTAATTGGAGATACAAAGTTGGTGGAAGGGAGTCGGCGTAGCGGATGAGAATGCTGAGGATGATGTTGATGGTGAGGTTGCTGTCATGAGGGTATTCTTTGACGTCGATGTAAGTGTGTTGACCTCTGCCATGTACAATAGCGCCAGTGATGTGTGTGTTGAGTTGGTCCGTGTGGCTGAGGGCTTTGGGTGCTGGGTGTAGTTGCGGTATTGCTGTGCAGTGTTGATCCATCCCATCGATGATGATGCTCATATATTTGTCTGGGCTTGCCTTCGCTTTTTGAATGTGCTTGTAGTATTTCTGCCTCTCACTGCTGCTGAAACAATAAATTAGGGACAAGAATACCACTATTGAGAATATATTCAGTATTCAACAGTGAGTATTAAACACATTGTTGAGGATTCACAGTACAGTCAAACTTGCCAAACAATCTTCCCGAGGAAGCTGGCAAAAGTGGCCTTTATGGACACGTGGTCTTCCTAAAGAGATTCAGTAACATGCAAACTGCTCTACAAATATAAAGTTTTAGTGATTTTTTTTTTAAATGTGAGCTTTAAAACAGGTTTGACTGTACATGTATTCAGAATTAAAGGGAAATAATAACATAATTAGAGATCAGGGCCTGTATTCAAGTCAATAATTAAGTACAAAATTTAAGCTTAATTAGTATTTGGCTTAGATAAATACTTAGCCAATTTTGGTATTCAATTCAAACTTTTGGCTAAGTATGTTACCCTAAAGACAGCTCCCTACCAGACTTAAGCCAATTATTTGGAGGCCTTGATTGGCAGGCATGTTTTTCTTACACAGTATTATAACCTGCACACACTTATAGCATTTATTGCAACGCATTACTTTTGATTGACCGTGTGATGGCATAATGCTTATCAGTTAGTATTTTACCTAGATTTTGTCTTACATAAGTATAAGTCTTAAATGCGTTTTGAATAGGAGATAAGTAAATTACTTAGCTTAGCCATTTACTTAGTAAATTTCTAACTTATGCTAAGTATTGAATTGAATACCGGCTCTGGGTCATTCACTTAATTCCTAGATTTTCTTTCTAGTACACAAAAAGCATGAATGCCATAAAAAAACCATAGATCATAATCAGGAAAGTTATGACTGCTCATGCACAAAATTGTTTTGTGCAGTTTCAGGTTGAGGTCTTTTCAAGGGGTTTTTCCTTTTTTTAATTTTGTGATTATCTTACCTCTGTCAAATCTCTCACTCCTTTTTGAGATTTTACCGCAGTGGAACCTTGTTATAATAAGGTACATAGTATAACACGCTAATTTTGCTGGTCCCATGTCTTATATAGAAGTCTTGAATCTTGTGGTAATACAATAATATCAAATTTCTCCACCTTGAGTATACATTAGACTCGTTGTAGCAAATTGTTTCAAAGACCAATCAATTGAAAGTATGTTATATACTGTACCTTTGTTTCTCTACATGTTTTTGGTGTTGGGTTATGAGACTTCTCCTTAGCACTTTGTCATTGGTTTGGCCGAGCTTGACTTTTAATTCAGTGCATTCGTCACACTTTGAAAAGCGGTTCACCTGCAGAAAATGAATTTCAATTCACATAAAATATTTGTTGGATGTTGATATATCACTTAACATGCTAGTTTTCTTTAACAAAGGGTTCACTATTAAAAAAGTTCTTTCATCCAAACATTATTTTGAAATACATTATTCAAAAGTTTGATAATCTGTTTTTTTTAAACAGATGGAATACCATCTGATATAGAATATAGAATAGGCTTTACATAGTTCTAAAATAAAAATTGACAAAGAGTCAATAATTAATCCAAAGATTCACTGCACACTATTTGTCTTAGACTTTTAATACACTAGAACCATTTTTGGTATTTAAAAAAAAAAATTTTTTTTCAGAACATATTTCTATTTTAAAAACTTGCTAGAATGTTTGGGCTTCAAATTGCTTCATATAGGAAATAGAGATAATTCTTAAAAATCCTGCCTCTGAATTACATAATTTATAATAACATTTCAATCAATAATTTGTGGTCAATAAAATTAAAAAACAATACTTCTGTCTGAACATTCTGATAAGGATTTGTGGGAAGGGGGTTAAATTGTATCCCCATTCATGACCTACTCTCTTAAAGTCCTTCTTAAGTGTTGGGAGCATCTAAACATTTGGTTGAGGGAGTTCACTTAAATTGTATAATGACTTGTAAGTGAATGTAATTTAACACTCACTTTTGCAAGTATTTTTAAAACAAAATTGTTTGAAAACGATACACTGATGAAATATTATACAATTGAGGTTTTCTGTGTACAACACAAAACAAAAATTTTGCATTATTTCAAATATAGTCTTCATAAACATTTGTCTTGAAAATCCTTGACTAGTGAGTGTTAAATTACATTCTATTCCACATCATTATGCGATGTAGGTAAAATTAATTTGGTCATCACATTTTGGGGCTCCCAACACTTTAGAGAGGCTTTAAAGCAGTCTGAATAAGGTTAATCTATATTTATTGTGAATAGGAATTTCAAAATACGATACCTTTGGGATCGTTATGTGCTGCTCTTCACTCCTCCAGATTCTTTTGAAGTGTGACTCTGAGCACACCTCTGCATTGTCCTTGACCCTCTCGTACACCTCTCTCTTTGTGAAGGATGACGGGAGATTGAGTCTTTCCTGGTTAGGCATTCTGTCCCCATACCTCTGTGCTATTCGGTCTAATTGGGTCTTTGCGTTGAGAGTTCTCTGAGTCTTGTACCCTCTCCTTTTGAAATTGGCTGGTAGTGGGTAGAGCATTCCATCTTGTATCATGAAATCAGGGAAATCGAAAAGATAAGCATTACAAAAAATTGAGTAAAACCAATACAAAGTCTTATTTATCATGATCTTGACTTTTTTCTTTTAATTTAAAAAAATACTCTACTTTTGCTTTTAAAGAAAAGCTTTCTTTTGGGTATAAGTCAGGAATTTCTAAAGAGATTTTTAAAATTTGAATCAATAAAAAACTTGGCCTCAATTCATATTCTCTTTAATGAGTTCCTTATTTCATTTGTGTGTTTTTTGGTGAGAAACATAATACACAATAAATCCATGTTTTCTCTTTTTAAATAATTTTTCATTATGCCTTTTACAATAAATAGACAAATTCCATCAGTAAATTAACTGACCTTCCCAGAACTCAATTTCCCTTAAAAACTGATACATATTCTGCATTAATGGGACCCACAGTTTCATAATGTATTTTCATGCATACTTGCTTATGACCCACCTCTTTGGATATCGCAAAGATATACCAACTGTTGTTATTAAGCTTTTGAAAGGTATCAAGAGAACCTACAACTTGAAGTCATTTCTGAGGAACTAGGTAATGAAGATCGAGTGCCCACCATGTGCGATAGAACAAGCACAAAATCCACATGTATCATAGATGCTATGCTCATGAAGTTATTGTAATTTCTAGACATAAATAGGCTTGACATGCATTGGAACAAATGCCAAGTTGGCTTCCAATGTGCGAAGAAAACACTGATCGAGAACAAGAGATGGAACTGAAATCAATCTACATGAACATTTGTACGGTAGTAAAATTATGTGTGGACCAAAAAAAGATTTAAAATTTGTATGAAGGAATGAAAGAAAGGAATATAAATACTTTAAAAATCATAGGTTTCCGCAACATCTTGTTTTATGACTTCAAAGAATTACATTGTAAATGATGCTAAATTGTAGGTCAAAATAAGTACCCGGTATGAGGTACCAAAAATTAAAAAGGAAAAAATGCCATGGGATACTACTTTCGTTTTTTTATCACAATACCTGTAATTATTAACCTCACCTCTGAACCGTTTTTGCCAGTCGTAGAATCTTGATCTCACAATTCCAACCACCTGGTACCAGGCTGTAGCACACACCAGCTCCAGACCAATGTTGAATGAGAACTGAAAGCTCCCATCTTCAGCTTGAGAAGAATGAGTCCTGAAGTACTCCAGAAGCCATATCCGCTGATCACACAAAGATTTCTCCTTGAAGGCTGAGCGGGCTGCAGCTGCATCTGCTCGTGTCACTCTCGCCAGGCAATCGGAAGAGCAGCATCTTCCACTGAAAACGGACAATAACGTCTCTCCACCAGTTTTGACTGTAAAAAAAAGGTGCACAGAAAATTTCCGGCTTATAATAATATGGTTGCAGTATAGAATGAACTCTTAATTTCAAATGTACTTCGCAGTGAGAGCCACATACAACTCGATTTTATATGCAGATATGTAAATACATGTCTAGCATGAACAAAGAAATCCTTGTAACTTTAACATGCCCATGAAGCCCTAATGCTAAATGCTCCCATGAGCTTAACATCAGATGGCCTCAAGACTGTTAATATTTTCAATTTTACTTCTTTCATGTTTGGCATTGAGTGGTGTAAACACCTTTTCACATGTTTTTTTAATTCATATAGAAACAAATAAATTTCGCGGTCAAATAAATAGTGCAGAATTCAGAAAAATTAATGTACCATGAGTGTTTCACTTTACCAGTATTCATCGTTCACCTATATAGAAAGTATAAACAGGGAACTAATGGGGCAAATCTTAAGACAGTAACCATATGACCATGGTGTAAACTACTATTAAGTTCATTGTACTAGTATTACAGATGTTTAAGAAAAAGAACCTTATTGTGTTAATGTGTCATACATACACCAATGTATCAATCTATGACAGTCTCCACTTTGATCAATAATTGCATTGTAATTTAGCAGTGTCAACTTCTGATAAGTGAAGAATTGATGAGTTTAAAAAAGAAAAGGTAAAGGTCACGACCAAAGAAAGTGAGTTTACAAAGAGCCTCGGAAGTGTTAGCACAGCAGAGATGAAACCTAGTCACCAAGTTATCAAGTAGTATGTAAATGAGTAGAAATATTACTTCCCTAGTTTGCAAGTTTGGAGATCCAGGATGTGTGAGTATTGCATTAGAGGGAGAAAGTAAGAAGTCAGCAAAGGTAAGCTGACCCTGGACCCGAAATTTGTTGCAGTACTATCTTCAGGCAATTAATTGTTTGAAAGTTACAAAATCTGTCCAAAGTCATATTCTTCGCCAGCCTGCTAAGGGTGTATTCATACAATTGTTTTTAAGCAAGCTTAGTTTTGCCACGTAACACATATCTTATTTTAACTATGGCTGTGATTGCACAGAGTAGAATTTAACTTTTTTAAATACATTTTCTGCGAATTTGGGGCTCCAAACACTGTAGACGGGTTTTAATCCTAATATGGGAATGTATAAAAGAGGCAAAATCACAGTTAGAGGAATAGCTCTTCTAGGTGAACATGAAAATCAAATATCCAGGTCCATATTTTGTAAAGCTCTGCAAAACTATTAAATACAATATTCGTTATGAAGTTGCTTACTGCATGGGCATATACTAAACTTGCAGGAAAATTAAGTAAAGAAAGGATCAAACAAAAGGTAACATATTTGTATTGTCTTGTGAAGAAAAAAAAGATCGTTGAAAGTACCTCGTTTTCTCCGCTCTTGCTCAAAAGCACTATTCGCTTCACTTCCTGATGAGTCCAGAAGCAATGTTACCTCTCTTTTCCTTTTACCTGATGTGAAAATGGACACAAATGGAAGTTAGGAAAATAAATTACTAAATAGGGCAATTCTTATTATTCACATTAAACTAGAAAGATACTAGAAATAAATTGTGTGCAATGGAGAAATAAGCGCCAGCACGAAACACTGTTACCCCAGAATCTATTGATGATTCTGTATTACATGTATATACCTCACTTTAGAAATCCAGCCATCTGAATAGGACACTGCTAACAAAACGCATTTAGAAAGGTACGCTCAGAAAATAGTCTGTTTTCAGACTTTTGCATCACTTGGTTGTCAATTTAGTGCTGAATAAAGACTAGATCAGGTTTATTTTTTTTAATTTTCAAGAAGTGGATTACTGTTGTGTACAAATAATAATATACCATTCACATTTAACTGATGTTAACTGTTAACAGATCAGTCACTCACTCAATAGTGTCTGTCAGTTTTAAAAGTCTAGCAATTTAACAGTTTTCCTTGTATAATTTAATACTATGTCTCTGAGACCATTGACATTTCGCATACAGGAAACATGTGACATTTCAGAATCTAAGCGAAAACTGCCTTTATAAAAAATCCAGAGACATAAGTATTGTGCTTTATTATCATTGATAATGACACATTGTAGGCCCTACCTGATTTACGGAATGGTTGAGCGTCCTCAAGGTCATCGGCATCACTCTCAAGCTCTGTGATATCATTTCTAGTGGACTGTAAATCTATAAATATTCAATGGGTATAAGCAAAAATATGTATTTGACTTTGCATGATATATCATTTCTATAATAATATTGTACAATCAGAGAAAAGTTCTATTTTGTCAACATCAAGTTTACTCCCAAATATCATATATTTGTTATCAATTGAAAGAAAGATAACAGCTGCATTCAATTTGAGCTGAGCAGGATCTGTCAATCATGAGATATATATAGTCAAGATAAATTTCAAAAAAATTAGATTTTCGCCAGAGTCTGCCAGTGCTTTGTATTAAAAGTACAAGACAAGTTGAATTTTTTCTGAGTTTCTCTTTCCAGAGACATAAGTATTGTGCTATTATCATCAATAATGACACATTGTAGGCCATACCTGATTTACAGAATGGTTGAGCATCCTCAAGGTCATCGGCATCACTCTCAAGTTCTGTGAAATTTGCAGTGGACTGTAAACCTTTAAATGAAAGAAACATAATGCCGCATTAGATTTGAGCTGAGCAGGAATTAACTGTCAATTATGACATATAGTCAGTCAGATCGCAGAAAAATTATTTTTCTGCCTCTGCCAGAGCTTCGTATTACAAGTTTAAGACAATATCAGATTTGTTCTGAGTTTCTCTTCCCAGTGTGAACCTAAAAATATTTTAAATTCAAGAGGTATGTGTGATCGATTTATTCAACTAAATAACTTGAAAAATAAGCATGCTTTCGTAATTTAATATTACTGTTCATCAGAATCTATTTGGAGGTGTAACAAAATGCATTTTAATGGTTTGCAAATGGTAGTAATAGTACATGAGCTGAAATTTCACATGCATGCTTTGCGTATTGATAAAGCACATGCATATACAGTTGTATCTATTATAATAAGCAGTTACATGAAGCACTGCAAATACTGATATTACATGTACATCCAATCTTAAAGCCCCTCTAAAGTGTTGGGAGCCCCAAGAATTTGATGCAGCATTTTCAAAAAAAAATGTGTTTGAAGTCGAATATTGATGATAGAATACAAAATATAGGTTTTCTGCGTACAACAGAAAACCTGAATCTTTACAGAAGTGTGTAATAAATGACACCCTGTTTCACATTATCATACAATTCAAGTAAAGTTCTCCCATCAAATTGTTGACGAATTCCGGGCTCCCAACACTTTAAAGGGGCTTTACCTTTAGATACTCTAATCAAAGATATATTAACAATTCAAATTCTTATATCAGACTCTTTCATTTCTCATTTTCAAAATTACTAGAAAGTGTTTTCATATTTCTATAACCGTACTGCTATTTTAAAATAACCAAATTTACTTTTTGCACAATATGTCCAATTCTTCAATGTCATTTAATGTTATTTATGCAACACAATCAAAATGGGGGGGGGGGTACTTTGTGCATTCACACTCGTTTGTAGAGCCATTCATGGAATAACACATACCCGAGTTACTGGCAGAGAAAGGCTGGGCATCCTCTTCAGCATCACTATCAAGCTCTGTGACAGTATTTCCAGGGGTCTGTAAACCTGTAAAATTAAATTCAAATTATCAAATACAGTATGCTATGATATACATTTATACATTCATATCTGGTCATATAGCATTTTTATTATTAATTAGCAATATGGATTCTACTTGTAACCATGGTAGAGTGTCCCTTTTGCAGGTAATTTGGTTTTGCAGGTTTTGCAGGTAACAAATCCAGTAGAATTTGGCAGGAATGATTCATGAGACTGTCCCATAACTGTCCCATCTGTGAAATTTATAAGTTGGCAGTGAAGCCAGTGACCTAGTCTCCTTACTTTGTTGACTCAACTTTTAGACACTTTGGAGCTAGTGACTGACTGACTTCTGTCTTCTATGTTAATAATAGCTTAAATAAAATGATCTGTGAAGGGTATCATTTGTAGTTTGTACACAACAGTGACCTGCTTTAGAACAAAATTAAACTAATTTTGTCTTTACTCAGCACATAATGTAAGACTATGCAGTACAAGGGTCTGAAACATCAGACTGAATTATTGGCGTACTTTTCTACCCTGTGAAGAATTTAACTTAATTTAACATAAAGCTAATTTTCCAGTGCTAAACTTTTAAGAGGAGTTTTTAGTTAATACATGTATTATTACTTGTTTATCATTGAATTTACAAAACTTTGTATTTTGAGCCTGCAAGAGGGACACATCACCTTTTAAAGGCTCTGGTGGCTGTACTTGCAAGCCAAAGATATGAAATTGTAATAAAATGCCTAAAAATGACATATCCCCATTATATAATTCCTTTCAAAATATATGAACTTCTCAACACAGCTCTGAAACAATGTTTACAAAGTAATATTCTGTAGAGTATTTTCAGCGCCTTCATGATAGATAACATGTTCGTAAAAAAAAAAAAAAAATCAAATTCCCTTGTATTATTTCTAAAATCTAAAAATAAATATTAAAAAAGAAATGAATAAAGAACTGTAAATAGGGCTGTTACAGCATCAACATACATGTACAGTAGATCAATCAATTAATATTAAAAATGTCAAAATTGGAGTACCGGTAAAGACATTGTAATTATCTGCTTTAAAGAGATCAAGTAACACTCATTTGCACTGCCCCTTCAGTCAAAATTTGATTGAAAGAAAAAGAAGAGAAACATATTTTAGTTTTCATTGCTACACGTTTTGTCTGTTTACGGTAGTTCAAATTTAGAAGAGATCGAGGAATATTTGAAAATAAGGGCTATTTCCTTCAATAAAACTAATATGAAAAAAATATTTGTCTCTGAAAGTATATACATGTACATGTAAATCTTCATTTGTTTACAAGGGGTGAGGGGCTATATTATACGACACAACTTTTTCAGTATAAAGAAAATAAATGAAATCTATTTTTTTTCCCTTCAAACATCGATTCGTTTCCTCTAAAAAAATGTACAAGGTTACTCTAATGCCAAACAAGTAAATACCCTTGAAATGTCATCGATATTGGGTAGAATTTATATGTGAACCAGTAACACTGTTCATAATTGAAAAAATTGTTCGCTATATTAAAGTATTCATGCATGTACATTATTTGATGTCAGTGTGTGCGCTACAGTTAATCCTGAATCATCTCTAGATCAACATTTCCAGCTCCAAATACCACTAACCAGATCTCCCTTCCTTACTTTGGTACTGGGCTAGAGGCATTCATAGTTGAATTATAGCAATTTTTTTCAGGAATGAGTTAAAATATGGCTACAAGTGTAATTATACAGATGTAGTTCCTTGTTTCTTTTTTTCCAGTCCAAATACAATGTTACCATTTCACTTTAAATTTCATACTTTATCCTTAAAATGAATTGATCTGATAATTAAAGCAAAAAGAACTGACTGCGCAACCACAATTTGTAAAACAGGTAGACAGTAAAGTTCTCTAGAGGAATCATAATGTGTGTCTTTACTGTACCTGTGGTCCATGTACTTGGAAGATTATCCTCAGCATCACTCTCAAGCTCTGTGAAACTGATATCATTCACAGTAGCCATGCCTCATGAGAAACCCTGAATATAAAACAACAATAAAACTGTCATACTATTTTTTTTCTTCACATGCAATTCAAATGTAACAAAAAAATTGTCAAACATGTTCCAATCAAAGCTGAACCTGACAAATGATGCAACTCTAGCAAAAAAGAGAAATCATGAAGTGCATTGATCATTTTTACAAGTTACCAACGTTTTGTACAATTTATAGCAACAAAATGTAACATACATGTACTGTATAGTATTTTTTTACTTCACCTAACTTTACCCTATTGAATGATGTTTTCTTTTCTACCCCTCATTGGAAGCTACATCATACATGCAGGAATACTTACTTTTTTGAATTTTTTTTGAAAAAGTCTGTAAAACTATAGAACAATGGAAATGACTACGCAAATTGCCAATTCGGTTATCAGTTTGTGACGTCATGTCCTCACTATTTATCAATTGCTTTGTATAGTTTAATCCCATTAATTTCTCTTTTTATCCCCCAAAACTTGATTTCCCCATGCCTTTACCCAGGTTATATGATCAATATCATATTGCGTGCATGACATTGCACAAAATCTTTTATCAACTTTGAAGAATTTATACTATTTTCTGAATATTGTATATTCATAATTATCGATTTCTATCTAAATAGTTTATCAAAAGCGACATTTTTCATGATTTAACTGAAAAAAATTTCTCTATAATTAGTGCATCCACACAAAAACATATTATTGTCAATCTAACTTGGATGCTGGTGTGAATAAATAAGATTCTTAAGGGAAAAAATAGGAAATTTATAGTATCAATATAAAGAAAACATTTAGTGGATAGTGCGGACATAACGTCACAGACTAATAAGTGAATTTCCAATTTGTCTTGTGATTTTCATTATTCCATAGTTTTACAGACTTTTAAAAAAATTCATAACTTTCTTATTAGATATCCGATTTTGCTCAAACTTTTTTTTGATTGGTTTGTCTGATGTTTTTTGCCTTTATCAAAAGCAAGTTATTTCTGGAGTGGACTTGGCCTTAAATAGTATGGTAGACTGTATTCATATTATCCATAGGTCTAGTATAGACTTTAACAGTTACAGTGTACATGAGAATCATATGCCCATGTTATGTTAACTAGTGGTACGTGCACTGCTTTTTATTTATTGGTTATGTTATCTACTTGAACTCTAACTTCTCTAAGTTAATACACAAAATATAGGCCATATTTGTGTATTTTGCTTGTTTCTGGGGAATTTGTAAATTAAGTCATAAACTAAGTAAGGAATCGACCTGGTTTAATTATGATTCTTATCTTAAGTTAAGGCAATTAAATCGTCTACAACAACCTCAGAGTCAGAGACAATATAGATTAGGAATAGGAGCGTTTTCCTTGGCTTTTCTTTTGCAACAATAATTCAATAGGCCTATATAGTACTGATCATTATTGCAGTTGGAAAAGTGACATAATCTTGAGGCGTTGAGCCTTCAGCTCAGGTTAAAGAAGAAAAAAATAGGCTAAAATTGGATCTACATGTAGGTTTATACCGTGTGAGTCAAAAAAAAGTTTATACACCTAGAAAATTGCTAATTGTTTAAAAAATCATCTATGAACAGCAGGCCCTAAATAGTTACCATATACATCTTATGAATAGTCAATATTTGCACTCTCGCAAACATGCAATGCCTCCTGTCATCCAAGCGTGAACACATACCACACACAAATGAAACTAAATGATTTGGGATAAAACAATCTTTCATAAGATGTAGGCTAGTATAATAATTTACCGTTCATAGATGATATTTAAATGATTAGCAAATTTCTAGGTGTAAACTTTTTTTGACTTACACTGTAGTCTTCAGTTTAGACTTAAGGTACTACATGTATGTCCCATTTGCAGGCAAAAATAATGAAAAGGCATTTGAAAGATAATTCTAATTTAGAACTTCCCTTAAAAAAGAGCCTGGGGGGCTTGAAAATGTCTTCAAGTGGAAAAATAACGACTATTAGTTGTCGAGGAAGAAGACACTTTAAAAAAAATTTTTTTAAGGTCCCCCCAAAAATCGCAATGACTCAGCCAGCCACTGAATAAGCAGGGGGGGGGGGGGGGGTAATGCCATGTAACAAAACATACATCACATGTTTAGCGTCCCCGCCCGCTTCCTTTTTGGGGGCCGCCTCCTATTTTTTTTTTCTTAAAGAAAAAAAACATGAAAAACACTGCTAAAATAGGAGGCCGCCATCTTGAAAAATAGCCCAAATGTCAGGGAAAAAGTACCGAGCGGCAATTTTGAATGAAAAAAAGAAATTAAAAAAAGGGGCTCCTCCTTCCTATTTTTCAACAAAAAAAAGGACGCTAAACATGTTTTTGTTTTTTATTTGGCCTAAGAGGACATTTTTTTTTTTTTCTGGAAATTTGAAAATTTGACATTTTGCTCCCTTGGGGGGGTTTGAGGTCAGCCAATTATTGGCATAATTTTGTTTTTGTTTTGTTTTATTAAAAAAAAAAAAAAAAAATAATCTCAAAGGGGAGGGGGGGGGGGGGGGTTCGCTCCAAAATACACAGAACTCCACCCCCCCCCCCTCCCCGTGCCTGAATCAGCCCATCAAAAGGCTATCCAAATGGTCTCCGATAAGGCCATTAAAAAAAATATAGATCTAGACTCTAGAATCAAAGTCTAGTCTAGATCTAGATCTAGTGGTCTAGCTGTCTAGATCTACATGTTTAGAGATTTTTTATTTTTTTTAATTTTTTTTTAAAGAAAAAAAAACATGGAAAACACTGCTAAAATGGATCTATTTCTGATTTTAAAAAAATGAATTTAAAAAAAATGTCAGCGGCCATCTTGAAAAAAAGCCGGACTGTCAGGGAAATAAATGTACCGGGCGGCCATTTTGAGCGGCCATTTTGAAGAAAAAAAAAAAAAAAAAAGGGCCTCCTCCTTCCTATTTTTCAAAAAACAGGACGCTAAATATGTTTTTTTTTTTTTAAATTTGGCCTAGATCTAGACCTAGACCTAGGTCTACGTCTAATAGAACTAGTGGCAAACAGCCCCATAAAGGATTAGGGATACCATGGCAGAAATCTTCATGGCGAAAGCGCACACATTGTAACGTACCTAGACCTATATTTAATAAGCACCCTCTCCAAACCAGTCCTGGACCATTTTTCAGGCCTAGATCTATAGCTAGGTCGAGATCTATAACAAATTTAGACAGAAAATAAAGATTGTCTACGTACCTGGCCTAGAATCTCTAGGTAGAGTCTATACATAGAATCTGCACCACTCTGATCTAGCTAGTAGTAGTAGGATTGACTGAAGCTGAAGATGGTTGAAAGTGAAACAGCCGAGTTGCCTGCTGAGCCGAGCACATGTGGAAGACTCCTCTCTAGATTAATACTAGAATTTTGTAGCAATGTAGACCCTAGATCTATCTCAATCTCAATTTTTTAGCTAGATCGAATTACGAAGAGACCAACAGTAGCAAGTAACCTCAGAAATAACAACAAAGTCAACAGTAGGCTCTAACAACTTTTTTCGAACTGTCAAAGTGTCATGCTGTAGCAAACAACAACACCAAGCTAGCGGCTTTTGTTTTCAAAACATGCGCTGTATTGTGTACACGCTTGAGCGATTACAATCTATTCAACTTCAAGATCTACCTGACTCGACTTTACACGACTTTACGACTTTGGATGTTCATCTTGATTGATTCATTGTTCTCAATCTCAACTCACGACCGAAAGCACGATCGAGTCATTGTTGGTGTTGTTGTTTTAGGTCATGGGCGTTTGTCATTCAGAAGTGAATCGTTCTTTCGTTCGTGTCTCCTTAGATCAAGATAGTTATGTAAAGTTCCTTAATTAGAAGTAAATTAAATTAAAATTAAGTGATGTAGACAAATGCTCATGTACCCTTTATACAGCTTGTTTTATGTATAGTTATATTACCAAAGAAGAAAAAAAAAACCCGTGTGTCTGACTGAAGTCTAGCAAGTAAACGGGTTTTCTTGCATAATTTGAATATTAGGACACTGCTAATGTTAAAAATTCACAGATACTAGATAGTAGTCATAGGTCTACATGACATATTCATAATTCCTGCAAAGTTCTACAGAATTTGAAGTTGGCTGCAAAAGGGACATAGTCTACAAAGTTTTGAGAAATTTTGAAAATTGGGTGGATATAGTGATTCTTTACAAGTTTGATATATTTGGATGCCCCTGTGGATGTATTATATAAGCACTATAAAATTTAGCCCCTAAAACTTTTCTGTTTTCGAGAAAAATTGAATATAAAATTTTACCGGTGCTCCCGGTAAATTTTGATAAATTTCAAATAGTGCCTACGGCCGTACAATGGTAGCTGCAACCATGAAAATCTCAGAATATGTAGTTGTGATATATAATTTCCAAACCGGAATAGCTAATCGGTCGATTTTAGTCAAGAAACATTGTTTTATAGCTTAATTAATAATTGACCTTGAGAGGGAGCTATACAACATTTCATAACTTTAGACTCGATTTCAATCGCGACAACGATCACTGAATATTGTAGGATCACATATGCTTCCAATATGTTCATTTGAACCAAATTCATGACCCGGCATACCAAAACTTTGTAGGCCTAATACCTTTAAGGCTATGAAATATCTTGTGTGATAGGGCTTGGGCAGTTGTGAATAAAAATAGTGGTCACCGCCGTACTGGTTTTGTCCTCCTTCTTTTTGTTCATTTATTTTTTCTTCTTCTTTTTTGTCTGATCTTCTTTTGATCAATTCTTTCTCATCTTTCACCGCGTTCGATCTTCATTAGCATCTTCTTCTATACTATAATATAAACAGGAGCCATCTATTCTGCTTCTTTTTGGCCCGGATACAAAGCATTTTGCAAATACTTCTACATAATGAATGTAGTCTCCATGGGGGGGGGGGGGGGGGGGGGGGGTTACTAATATGTTAACCCTTTGAGAGCGAGCCCGTGCACAGCGATTGTTTCCCCTTTGACGGAGCGATTTCGGTTACATCGCCAGTAATGGAAAATTTGGCGGTGCTTTCTACTTTCGCCTACCATTGCGCCTCATTCAGTCATTTTCGTGATTTTGAGTAAATGTAAAAATGAAAGATCAGACTTTTTTTTTTCTAAAAATATAAGTTTTGTTCATAAATACGAAAAATAAGGTCTGTTATTTTTGAGGGAAATCGCCGTCTTATTTTGCTGAAGCTTCACGTCTTTCCTTTTCAATAGTACACTCACAATACAAAATGTGCAAGCACCTCCGCACGCGCAGATCGGTCGATACCTCCATTCATTCCCCTATAGTCAATGACAATGATTGTCTTCTGCTAAAGCTCGGCCAATTATCCTACATCCTCTTCTTTCATAACAGTACTTCCAGAGTAGATCTTCTTTACATTCGTTTGTTCCTCTAAGGGTAGGGTCCTGAGATAAGCTGAGATAAGCTTTTCATAAAAGAGGAGGTCCATACATGAAAGATTCGCTAAATTGGTCAAGTTGACGAAATGAAAAGGCACTGGTAATCATAGGGGAGAAGAATTACCAACTCCTTTCATCAAAGCATACTTTTATAATGACATAGTTTAGAGTAAGGTCGGTTATTTGTAGCCAAGTGAGACACGGTTAAAATTCGAAAATCACGCCGAAAATTTCGCAACGACTCAGTCAGCCGCTGAATAAGCGGGGGGGGGGGGGGGGGGGGGGGGTTTGGTCCCAAAATTTGGCCGATCGATATTTGGTTTTGTTAGGGGGGTTAAAGGTCATTTTTTTGAGGTCACCCATTACCATAATTTTAATAAGGGGAGGTTTAACCCCCCCCCCCCCCCCCCCCTCCCTGCGTACGCACCTGGTCGGAACCTTACACTATGAACATTTCGTACCTGAAATAAAGCTGCATTACTGGGGAAATACTCGGTGAAAACTTTTTAACTATGGTTAAATTTGGGGTTACCTTTGGCTGAATGTCAGGATCCCCAAATCCTGTTGCTAGGGAAGAGCCATTAAAAAGGTGCACCGTAATTACACATAAAATTCAAGTATTCAACAACGGTTTCGATCATCTTATGGCCAATAAAAGTGCCAAGTGGCTTAAACATCAAACTGTTGAACAGAGCATGAAAAGAGCAGGAGTATTACTGTCAAAAAGTGAGCTATAGGCGCACGCGGGGCACATTAAATTTACAATTAAGGGGGTGTTTTAATTTAGCATGCCAAAAATATTACATGAGAATTGCCCAAATTTACTGCATGATGATTGCCCAAATGATGTGGCCCCAGTCTCCTTCCACCGCCTCACAAGGTCCAGGGGCGGATCTACGGGGGGGGGGGTAACAGGGTTTAAACCCACTTGGGCGCCCCCCCCCCCCCCAAAAAAAAAAAAAAATAAAATAAAATAAATAAAAAATAAATAAATAAATAAATAAATAAAAAATAAATTAAAAAAAATAAAATGAAAAATAAAATAAATACATAAATAAAAATAATAATAATAACAACAATGTCGGGTGAACTGATTATTTTTTTGTAGTGCTTTCTACTCCCCCCCCCCCCCGAAATATTGGTCGGTACTTCTCTCAAATTTCGGGGGACAAAATGAAGAGAGAAAAAATTAGGGGGGGGGGGGTAAGAGGAATTTTTTTTTTGGTCCCAAAATTTGGCCGATCGATATTTGGTTTTGTTAGGGGAGGGTTAAAGGTCATCTTTTGGAGGTCACCCATTACCATAATTTTAATAAGGGGAGGTTTAACCCCCCCCCCACCCCCTGCGTACGCACCTGGTCGGAACCTTATTGTATGCACTGTTCAAATCAATGCAACAACAAGAAAACAGATGAAGGGAAAAAAACACTGCAGTTTCAGAAAATATCTTCAGACAAATTTTGTTCCCTGAATTTCTAGAACCCGGCTAATACTGATTTGTCCTAAAGAGGGGATGGGGGGAGCTATGGACACTGCCAAAAAATTGCCTTGCTCTTGACTGGCACAAGTGCTCAGGAGCAGGATTATTACTGTCAAAAAGTGAGCTATAGGCGTACGCGGGGCACATTAAGGGGGTGTTTTCATTTAGCATGCCAAAAATATTGGGAATTGCCCAAATTTACTGCATGATGATTGCCCAAATATTGATTGATGTGGCCCCAGTCCCCTTCCACCGCCTCACAAGGTCCAGGGGCGGATCTACTGGGGGGGGGGGGGTAAGAGGATTTAAACCCACTTGGGCACCCCCCCCCCCCCCAAAAAAAAAAAAAAAAAAAAAATAATAATAATAATAAATAAATTAATTAATTAAAAAAAATAAAAAATAAAATAAATAAATAAATAAATAAAATAAAAATAAATAAATAAATAAATAAATAGATAAATAAAATAAATAAATAAATACAAATAATAATAATGACAACAATGTCGGGTGAACTGATTATTTTTTGTAGTGCTTTCTACCCCTCTCAAATTTCGGGGGACAAAATGAAGAGAGAAAAAATTAGGTCTAAATTTGACTAAGCCGAAAGTGCCGTGTTTCAATAATTATAACCACGAGAGCCTCCATCGCTTCAAAAAAATAAAGGAAAATTTCCATTATATATGAGGGGGCAAAGTTATTATACTCGTTTGACACTTTTCGATTGCCGGAAGGACCCTGGCCACCCCCACCCCAGTGGCTGTCGACCGAAACTAATGCAATATAATTAAGAAGGCCTATCATATAAAGGAATATCTTTCAATTAATAAATATTATAATCCATGTTTAAAAAAATAGGTAAATAATGAATCAAACATTTTACCTGTAGGAATGAACTTAATTGCTATAACAAATACTTGACTCCTATAATAGATATCCTCTCAGCATTATGTAGGCCTTTATTCATAAGGGTTACCATCTTCTTCTTCTCTCAGCATTATGTAGGCCTTTATTCATAAGGGTTACCATGAGAAACAGTCTTCGATTTATTTCCAATAAAAATCTCACCCTATAGGCTATACCGGCATATATTCATGTTTCGTTTCTTTCAGTGTTATATGTAATTTTGAAAGGCTTTCTAAAATTCTGTAATTTATCATTTCTGTATATTTTTATTTCTTTATAACTTCTTGACCCTTTCAAGGACTCAACTTAATCTATCCAAGGTCAAAGTACGGATTTATTCATAAGGGTTACCATCTTCTTCTTCTCTCAGCATTATGTAGGCCTTTATTCATAAGGGTTACCATGAGAAACAGTCTTCGATTTATTTCCAATAAAAATCTCACCCTATAGGCTATACCGGCATATATTCATGTTTCGTTTCTTTCAGTGTTATATGTAATTTTGAAAGGCTTTCTAAAATTCTGTAATTTATCATTTCTGTATATTTTTATTTCTTTATAACTTCTTGACCCTTTCAAGGACTCAACTTAATCTATCCAAGGTCAAAGTACGGATTTCATGCTGTTACGTGTATAATGTTAGATCTTTCAAACAACACGAAATTTCACACCCGTACACACACGTCACATACACTATAGAGTATAGAGGCATAAGTACGGGTGTATAATTGCGGCGCATGCACGCACGTGCGAACATTGTTTAACAATAAACCGCTTGAATGAACGGTCTTTGTGTTTACCATGGTCAATGGACCTGCTAAAGATAGAGACGACTAGACTTGGCGGATTACAGGCCCACCCGAAATTGAGCTGAGCTGAGGCGTTAAGTCTTTTGTTAACAGCGCCTTTGTTGGTGGGAGGATTAAAGTTCTATTCAAACTTAGTGATTTAATCCCTATCAAAGTTATCATCATGCAGTCAACTACCTCTTCCGCTCATACTTTGGTTTGCTTTTCGACGCTTCGGTTCACTCTCGCTTTTTGTCTTGGTTATATTATATATAGGTTTCGCTTTACTACTACTACTAGTTGTAGTGAGTGTTATTATAGAAAGTTTATCAATATTATAGTAGATCCTAGATCTGGACAGAAAAATATAGATCGATCTAGGTCTAGGCCTATAGGCCTACGTCGTGTTTCACTGAATTCAAAATCTCGATATCTTCACGTCACTGAAACGTCATGTGGTGGCTAAGTCGAGAAGGTTCAAGACTGTACGTGGTTGTCAACGGGAGAAAAGCGTATAGCAGAAACAGCAACATCGAGTTTTCTCATGTGGTGGCCGTCACACTCACAGACGATACAGGCGATGCAGGGGATGCCAATAAAATAATGGTGAGTAGATCTAGACCCTACATAGTATACTGTATTCTGTAACTGTAAGTGTTACTGCAGGTAGATCAGATGATAATTTTAACATTTTGGAGTCTACTTCTAAATTGGCAGATAGTCTATACTAGGTCTAGAGGCCCCCCCCCCCCCCCCCCACTTTTTCAGGTAGATCTCGACCTCTAGTCTCGGCTCTACCCCTGTAACTAAACCTGCTAAACAAACAAAAACAAACAACTTAAAATACCCCCAGGAAGACATGCCCCCAAGCCCAGGACAATAAACCCCTGAAACTTTCTGAAACTTTCTGAAACTTACCCCCCTAGGCCAGGTCAAGGACAATTTCTCCCACCCCAGGATAACCAAGGACAACTACCTTGAGGAAAATTACCCTCCCCTGTTCACTCTGGCAATAAGTTGAAACTCACATATCCCTGGTTTTAGCAAGGCCAATAAGCATCAAGTGAAGTAGGCTAACAAAGATATCATATGGTTCTCATACCCATCGTGCATCAATTTTTGCTGCGACTTCAGTTTATTTGTTATTTTTAGAGATTTCCTTTAATTTTTTAAGTCTATTTTAATACAATTTAAAGTCAGCATAATAGTACATCAGGGCATTCTAAAAACTTCATAATTGTCGGGTATAGAAAAGTGTGCTTGTAAAATGTAAGTGTGCTTGTTTGTGGTCTGTGAAAGAGAGAGACGATCATTTAATTTCTGATTTGACTAACTAAAGACAAATGTATGCCATAAAATATAATTTTCCCGGTTAATTGTCGTAGGGGGTCATCAACATTACTTACTGAGAAACAATATATATATATATATATATAAATATATATATATAGCCTTGAAAATAAAAAATCCCAAAATAACATAGTCTAGACTGAATTTTTTAAAAGTCCGGAAAAGAAACACATAATTTTTGTTACTTGGCCTAAAACATTTCAGAGGGTAATCATCCTTGGGGGTGGGGATGTTTGTCCAAGGGTGTTATTTTAAAGGTACTATGTCACTTTTGCAGCCAACCTCAAATGCTGTAGAACTTTGCAGGAATTATTAATATGTCATGTATGTCCCATCTGTGAAATGTAAAACGTTAGCAGTGTCATAATATTCAAATTATGCAAGGAAACCCGTTTACTTGCTTGACTTCACTGTCAGACACTACTGAGTGACCGACTGGCTTTTTTCTTCTTTGGTACATGAAAAGAGTTGTAAAGGGTACGCATTTGTCTACATCAATAACCCACTTCTTGTGATGACCAAGATTAAACTGATTGAATCTTTGCGCAGCATAAAACGTATGACCATTCGGTGCAATTGTCTGAAAATCAAGACTATTACTTTTGGGCTCTATAGCCCTAAAGTCGATTTGACAACTAATAGTCGTTATTTTCCCACTTAAAGACATTTTCAAGCCCCACCTTTTTTATGGAAGTTCTTAATTAGTATTATCTTTCAAATGCAGTTGGAATTTAACTTTTTCATTTTTTGGGCCTGCAAATGGGACATAGTACCTTTAAGAGGGGATAATTTTTCAGGTTAATTGTCCTAGGGGTCATTAACATCCACTTTACATAGATACAATATGATCAAAAAGCTTTGTCTCAGCAGCGCCATCATGAAGAAGAAAAACAATCCCAAAATAACAAATAATAAGGGCCTCCCTCACTTATTTTATATCTTTTCATTCTTTCATGTTTAGATTGTGCTTAAAAACCCATTGTTTTTTGCTCTTTATGAGATGGAATTTTTTGCACTGGGACTCTCAAATCTAAAAATTTATGCTTGCTTGCTTTGCTGTCTGGAAATAAATATTCAGACCATTACACCCATCTGCAAAGTACATGTACGCTGATAAAGCAGTATCTTGTACCATGTAAAGAGAGAAACAAACACAGAAATCATTCTTGATAATATAATCACAATGTAGGGGTATTTTTGCTAAGTTTCCCTTTATAGGTGCCCCTCATTTTGTTGACCCCCCCCCCCCCATTAAAAATATTTTTTTTTATCGTTGTTCATGTAGAACAGGCCTTCTCAACTAGTTTATTAGAAGTGCCAAAACGAAAAGAATTTGTAATTAAAGCGCATTAAAGCGCCACCCTATATAGTTGACTGTGCTGCGAGGGAGCGTAGCGACCGAGCCGAAAATGGGTGGGGTCAGGGGGCGAAGCCCTAACGGGGGTAGCAGGGGGTGGGGCCCCCTGAAGCTGGTGGATCTAGGGCTTTTCAAAGGCCCAAATGGGGCATTTTCAACACCATTTCATTCCACAATATATAATCAATCATAATTTCTTATTGAAAAAAAAATAAGTACGATTCCTGGGTACAATTACACCGGAGGTATATTCATATGCATTTTTTGTGTGCAATAAACACGGGAAATGTCAAAATAAAGTGAAAATCAAACAAACAAAAACAAGTTGTTTCCAAAGATTGGCAATGTTAAAATTGGTATCCCATCGTAAGCTAATTGTTGTTTAGACCTTAGGTTTAGATTTGTATAAAATGGTAAAATTTTGGGCTCAAATTCGACTGCAACTTCTTGATTTAGCTGAGTATTTAATTCTAAAATAAATATTTTCTTTCTTTCTGTTTTTTGTTTTGTTGTTGCAACAGTCGCGCGCCACTCCGACTGACCGCAAGCGCCACAAGTGGCGCGCGCGCCGCCAGTTGAGAAGGCCTGATGTAGAACCTAGACCTACATAAACAGAAAAATCAGAGAAACAATCACTTGTAATATGCCTAAAACTGAAAAAGGTTGACTAATCTAGTATATATATGTTGCCTTTTTTCAAGGTCTAGGCTAATACTTACAAAAATTAAAAACCTACTTACTGTCTATGCTGTAATGTTAAATTAAAATATTAAAATTGTGCAACGTTTTCTTGAACGAAAAGCAAAGCAAAACAAAACAAACAAACCATTCTTTTATTATGAGTATCATACCAAATACTTTGTATATATGTTTAAAACATGTTCTTACTTATTGTTAATTGCTGTTATGAATTTATTTTCAAGATTTTGTTATTAATATTATTATATAAATATATTTGTTATACTATAATGTACCTCATTATGTTTAACAGGGCTTCATGGAAGACCACCGTTATTGGTGATAATGAGTCACCCTGTCTAAATATCCGAAATAAATAAATAAATAAATAACTGGGCCTAGAGTACGTAACTCTTTATTGAAAATAGTTTCTATCAATCATGTCTGGTGCATGTTGGAGGTTTGTGCTTTTAATATTTTATTTCAATTTCATTACAGTTCAGGTTCGCATGTGGGCTGTCGACAGTGGCGAAGATGGAGCAAATGAATGCTCAAATGACTGCTCAAGCTCTGTTCTGCAGTGAAGCTGAGCTGCTAACTGCAGCATCATTTATCGATGAAGTTGACATGCTGCTTGCAGGCTCTTCTGCAAGCAGCATCGAGTCACCGAGTCACAGCGAGCCACCTGTAAAGAGGAAGCAGAAGACGCAGCAGAGACAAGCCAAGCGTGAGTATTACTATATGGTGAAATACACTAATTGGAAGGATAAATGTCTTTAAATGTGTCAAGACCATCTTATCTCCTTTAGAAAAATGAAGAAACTGAAGAATCTAAACTACCATACATATGAGACACATTAATATTTTTGTGTAACAAAGGATAAGATATTTATGTATTGAGTAGCTGAATGAAACTTAATTTGTAATCAGAACCCTGAACGCTATAAAGCACTAGACCATGATACACTCCCCTTTAATATTATGTTGTTATGTTGATTATGCATACCTCAACATTCTTTTTTAATTTTATTTGTTTTGACAAGAATTGTCTACCTGTATATCTTGCTCAGAGAATGGAATATCTAGCCAAGTTTTTAATCCCTGCAATATATGTATTTACACAGGTCAACGAACATGCAGTAGGTTGTCGACTAGTTCTGACGACTCAGACCACCATATACAGCTGCCATCACTTGGGGATTTAGATAAGGCCATCTCGGCAAAGTGTAAAGGTTTGTGAACTAGCTCTCCTTCAAAAACTTTTCACCTCAATTTTTCACAGTATTTTAACAATTTATATTTCAATGAATGTCATGGTAACCTGACCTTATGCAAATTTTGCATACCTTGGTAATTCATGAGATTGAATGTGTTCCTAGTAAATTGTTTTGATTTCAATTTCCTTGAATTTAAAATTGAATATTTAAAAATTTAATACAGCCCACTACATGATATAATGTAAGCTGGCAATATAATAAATACTATGTCATGGACACCTCAGTACACGTTTAAATAATCTGTCATGATACAGACGAGGTAAAAAATAAATTGTGGATCATCTATTGTTACAAACTTAACAAATACAAGCACTGCAATTCGTGAGTAGGCGTGCACTCAGTTTAGAGATCTTGAATAACATTTGAAACATCTCTGTGCTATTTCGATTAATCAGTTCCGATTGTTAATCAATGTTATTGTAGAGCTTATAGAAATTAAACTTTACAAAGGAGAGCAAATTAAATTTTACGGATGTAAAGACTTGACTGCACCCTTTTATTTCTCAACATCCCAGATATTCAGTTATATATGGAGCCTAACATGCTGTCGTCAACAAAAATAATTATTCTTTTATGCAGGGTCATTCGAGGTGTCTCTTTCCAATCTGATTGAGGCAAATCGGGAACTTCAGAGGCCAAGGTCCCGAAAGGAGATAATTGCAGCCAAGCAACATTTAGAGAGGGTTGATATTCGACAGGTACATGTACTGCCTGTCATGGGTGATGGGCCGTCCACCAACCCAACAACTGGCAAGCTTCAGGTCCTTGGTGGTCCCCCCTGTGCATATGTTGAGGCGGCTAAGGAGTTAGCGGACGACACAAGGTGAACACCCGGAATCCTTTTTTTCTGTGCTACATTTTAACATGCTTATAAATAATTGATAGATAATGCAAAGGAATCTACGACTTGCCTGTCATTTTCAAAATGATCTTGATCATACATTATTATTTTTGTCTCATGAATTTCTTGTGTGTGTAATATCTTAAGAACTGAATGAGTTCTGTCCTTTAAATGATAATCTATATTCTAATTTCACATCAAGATTACAAAAAAAGTCGTGACCTTGATGGTGCCACTTCATTACTTCCCATGTCTTATGACCATCTTCATATTATCACATCTCTATATCTTACAAACTTTTCATCCACAATTTCTTTTGACTGCACCCTAATCCTGACCCTTATTATCCTTAACCACCAAATCCTATATAGCCTGGGGGGGGGGGGGGGGGGGGGGGAGCTTTAGAAGCCCACCCTCTACATTGTTTGTGAAAATTTGTTAACGCCAAAAAATGTTGCGCTGAAATTTAATGAATTTTTTATTTCGGGTCTTGCGTATCTTCTGAAACAATTTTTTTTAAAATCAGACCTACCGTTACAAAGTCACGTGACCTTTTGTCTTTGCATGTCTGCCCGAAAATTGCTCATCTTCTGGATTTTTGTACAAAACATGGAAATGTAATTTTTCCCCAAAAGAGATAAAACATTGGATATTTGGTCTTGTTTATAGTTTAGGTGTTTGTTTAAATATGAAGAATATATGATTTATAGGTAAAAATGTCAGTGCAATGGCCTTAATTGCATAAATTACCATAAATATGCAAATGAGTGAGTTTTTCAAAAAAATTGAAATTACCCTAGTATTCTATCCACTTAACTTGACATACATGCAAATTTTTGCGGCATATGATGGCCGAGATCATAGGCTATGCTATGCAGTTTCAAAATAGCCCAGATTATATAGGATTTACCCTCCCCCAATATTTATATTTATTATTGTACATTTATCTGTTCTGCCCCTTTTACATTCCATTGAGATTGGGTAACATTAAATAATTCTTTTTTATTATTTCACAAGCCTGCCTTCATTGAAATGTATAAACATCTCTCAAATAAAGAAGTTATTTTAACCTGAATGACAATGTTATTTTTTAATTTTTTGTTTAGATTTAGCCATCTGAAGCACGGCTGGAGGGTACAAATTTACCTCCAGTTAACCGACTTGGAAGCCCTAAGAGTTGGTAGCCTCTACCAGGAGAGTCTCCCTGTTTCTCGCCCAATGTCCTTCCAGGATCAAGTTGGGTTGTGCAGGAAAATTCTGTACTGGCACAACAGCCTAGACACAGAGGAGGAGCCAGTGAGGATGGTGCAAGACGTTAGGAAAAAGTGTAGCCTGGCTCTTGGCAAGGAAACTACCAAAAATGTGAGATACTACCTCCTTCCCTCCATACATCATGAGCTTAACATTTTTTTTAATTGTTTTTGGAATATATTAAAACACTGTTTATTCTCTATTTTGCAGCTCAATATACATACTTCAGCCATTTGTTTGCCATTTTATGCTAATGTTATATTGATAGGCTCTTGTTTTCCAGTTTGGACACAAATGGAGAAAAAGATGGAAATTAAATTATATATTATAAAACCCAAGATTTGCACTAGTAATGTTCCAGACCTGATGATTTGATTTATCAATGAATTGCAAACCTTAGCAGCCATGTAGGTGATCACCATAGAATACAATTTGGAGTGTTCTGTCCATCAGGGCTCAAATTATTAATTTTTTGCCCACGGGGCTCTTTTTTAATACAAATTTCCATTGAATTAGTACCCATAAATTCATTGCTTTTCATCATTATCATTAATTGTAAGCATTTTTTACCTCTTACAACTTTACAAGTTATTACATGCAGCTAATTGTCAGATCTCCTCCCTCTGTACAAATTTTCTGGTCCAAGCCTGTATAAATTCGCCTCCTTGCCAACAGGTTTCCTTTTACTAATTTTAGGTTGATTTACTGGTCGAGGTTCATTATTTGCTGGTCTTTTGTAATCACCAGATTTCAGAGGATTCACGATTTACAACGAAAAACTCCATGTTTCGGTTCCTTTCGCGGCCACCTCTAGCTGCGGCAGATAAAAAAATTTAAAAACTTAATTTTAGCCCTTCCCTCAGTAGATTGGATCTGAATGATATTATTGATTGGGAACCTACCCCAGAAGGGTATTAGGTCAGTGTCCCCGTTGGCTAAAATTGGAAAATGTCAAAGACCTTGTACTTTTCAGGTATTCATATGCTCTAATATGTTTTTTATCTTGATAATCACTTGAATTGATTTTACTTAATTAGTTTCTGAATACCGGTATTTGCTTTCTGATTTGTTTTTCTCTTTGTTATTATATTGCTAGTGGAATAATATATTTTGAAGTGCACCTTATTTTTTGCCATATTTTATCTTTACTTTCTCAGGCATTGAGGTCATTGGAGCCAACTTTTCAAGCAGCATCATACAGCTGTAGGTGCTACCGGAAGGCACAGTTAGCCTTTGACAATTACCGTGAACAGATGGGAAAGGAGTTGTCCCAGTTTGTAAGTAATTTAGCTCTAGTATTGATATTAGAACGCTGTTTGTCTATGTACTGTCCTGGAGCTGATCTTTGTGCAGTTATATTTTCACACAATGTGAAGTGAGCATAAAGGAAAATTGTCAAAATCAGTCTCGAGGCCAAACTAAACAGACCAAATTCTTTTGCAGGCCTGTAGAATGTAAAGTGGTATAAAAATCTATGAGTAAATAGAAGATAAGAACTTAAAACGAGAACTAGATATTGCATTTTAAAGGAATTGTGTAAATCATTTTGTTTCAAATCCTTTGGAATCAAAGCCCCCAAAGTAGTATTGTAAACTTTAGACGCTTCCAAGTAGTGCATAGGTAAAGAGCAAATCAATTTCATTTTTGTCATTAAATGATGAGTAATAAATCATTAAAATAATACCCAATTATACCCATGGTATTTAAATTGTAGAAAAAACGTCAGACACTAACTCAACTAAACCTGATAGTGAAGCTTATAAAGTAAATGGATTTCCATGCATCAATAAAATACTAGAGCTATCTTAAACATTTCACAGATAAGATTTCATGACATGCTTGTGAAAAACACCTTTGAAATGTTACTTGGGTCTTGTCCGCAGAAGGAATCAACTACTTTAAAAATGTTATCGCCTTTTATACAATTAACGCAATTTTATGAAGGAAGTAGATGTTCCAGCTGTTCTGTTTGTTAAGGTTTGTTATTGTTATTTTGTATGCTCAAAAGAAATTTTTTTGGTTAAAAATTGGGCTGGCATTATTAACTTTTATCCGAACGTTGCTTGTGCCAAAGCGTTTACCGCTGTTTGTATATTGAATCCTGAATGTGTTTTCTTCACATCACAGTTGTCATTATAATATGCATTAGCCAATTTTAGCATTAGAAAAAAAATTATTTTGTCTAACAGTTTTGTTTTAAAAAAAGCCAGATAATTGATTTATTGATTTCTCCTTTTATTTCAGTGGTTCATGAAGCTGCAGGGATTACCTGAAGAAGTTAGATATGACCTGCTAGTGACGGCAGCCTCAGACGGCAACATGAAGGCAATGGGGAAAAAAGCGGAAGCCATGAAGACAGAGAGGGTCCTGCAGGACCATTTCGTGCAGTTGGTTGGTGCCGAGTCATGGGCGGAAGCTCAAGAGCTCTACCCGGACCACACAAGCGAGGAGGCAATGAAACCATATGTTGGTAAGTTTATTATTATAGTCATTAATCACATCAATTGACAGTAAATCATTACCTTTTAAGCACTAGCCCAGACTTTGATACACATATACCACAGTCCTTCACAGTTTGAATTTTACAGTGGAATTTTACATGGAACAATAACAAAGCCAAGAATAATGTACATTGGACTTATATCATCATTATTTTTTTGCCAGATTTTTATTTTATTTGAAATGAATATGTGCCTCTTCAAAAGGAAATATGTAAAATTGTTCAAATGTGATGTTGCACTTCAAGCAGACTCAGTAGGCCCCTAATAATAAATCTTTTTTTAAGTTAAGCTAATTTTAAATTCTTCTGTAACAAGCATAACTAGATATGAACTAAATTTGCAGGAATCATTCTTTAGAGAAACAATTGTTTAATTCAAAGAAAAGAAGTAATATCTATTCACTTCTCATTTAAAAACTGCTGGTCCTATACTCTAAAATTTGAAGAGGTTTATTATCATGCCTACAAACTTCAACCCATGGAATTTCATCTAAATTCTGGAGGATATACACATAAGGGCTACTACGGGAATGTAAAGTTGTACCAATTAATGCAGTACTTGATTTTGTATAACATTTCCTGGGGTTGTCCCATTTATCCTTGTATCATCTAACTAGCTATTAATGATGGAAGGGTGGTAACAGTGAAAAGGGGGGTATAGGAAAGAATTTTCTTTTCTTGATTTTTACTTCTACTTTAAACGCATATGTCTATATTACAACAAGGAATTATTCCTAAAGTTATTAGTAGTTTCTCCCTTTTGCAGACAACAAAAAATTCTGTAGAACTTAGCGGGAATCAAAAACCTGTCATATACATCCTGTGGAAGTGCAAAAGTTAGCAGTAACCAAATATTCAAATGATGCAATGAAAAGCATTTACCTTCTAGACTTAACTGTTAGACATTGTTGAGTGAGTGACTGATTTCTTTAATAACTTACATAGAATAAGCTGTGATGGATACATTACTTATAAACCCACTTCATGTAATGACCAAAATGAAACCGCTTAGCCTTAACTCAGGATCTAAAACATCAGACTACTTCCTCAGCATACTTTTCTCCCCATGGAGAAAATGCCTATTAGTAGATATAAATCCACATAGAATCAGTTTCAAATTCTGATCTGTTAAAGGCAGCGTTTAACAATGTTAAATCTGAGATGTATGGCCCTACGTGTTATCAGTGTCTGTGATATGGTGAAATAGTGAAGCCCTAAAAAAATGGCGATTCAAAATGTTCAAGAAGTGTCTCAAAAAAGTAAAAATCTTTGAGTGACCGGTTTTACCATACTCGTTTTCCCCAATAGACTGTAATGTTATGAAAACCATTAGAAAAACGCAAAATTTGGTTTCCATTTCCAATCATAAATATCTTGATAATCAGACAGGCGATCGGCTTGTAAAAGTCATGGGGTTCCTGACTGACCTAAAGGTTTATAATTATCATTGCAGCATGAGCTAAATCCAAGATTTTTTTTCAGATTATGAGAAATTCTTTTTTAGTTGGCATAATTTCTTTTGTACCATCACATTTACTTTATATTTACTTTATATTGTCAGCATGCGAAAGGGACACACTATCTTTAAGGTGATCGAACGGGAACCTATACCCCTTGAAGGAGTTCATGACAGTGCCCCCAATTTAAAAAAAATTAAAATAGACATAATTCACTTTTCAGGTGCCGAGACACTGCTAGCACATGCGCCATATTTGTATGTGTTAAGGTGAATGTAACAGATGTTTTGACAATAACACCTTACGTAACTAATGACTAAAGTGCTGCACTATTTGGTACAGCTTTTCCTATTTTCTTTTTATTCATGGATCTTTTACAATCGTAAAGCCCTTAACCCTGTGATATACCATATTTTACAAATTTAATTAATGCACCCTACTACTAATAAAAAATTGTTCATGATCACCCGCATATTAAATATCTGCCCTAAAGATTTCCAAGAGATTGTGCTACTCTTTAAGTTTGTTTTTTCCATTTTTGTTTCATGTGCAGGCTTAAAATTCAAGAGAAATCGGGTTCCTGATTGTTTTACTGCACATTCCCTGAGTGCCAGGCAGACAAAGGTGATGGGGTCACCTGCTCTTTTCATGAGCACATCAGTACAGGTTTGTTTGCCTTTTTTGTCCCTCCATATACCATCTGTGCATACCGGTAATTAATATTACTGTGCAAATGAATGAATTGAGGTACTTGTATTTTCAGGCCTCAAATTTGGTGGTATTAAGGCCTCTCTTAGTATCACCTAAAGTCCTGTGCTAACTCTAGCCCAACTCACTTTTATACTTCTTTTTTTCATAGGTGGGCTAGCACCGCAATATTCTGGGACTTTTCTGGCCCTGGTAAAAAACGGAGTTAGCCCACGATAGGTGGATACTCAATAACTGAAGTGCTTAGTCGTTAGGTCTGAACATGAGAAAGATACTAAACAGCTCGCTCATTGCTACAAATGGAGGGAACTGGCATCGACCAATCGAATGACAATACAATATGAATTAACATATCAGCCTGGTTTTGATACACAAATGTTACTCCAGTATAACAAACTTTAGGTGTGAAAGCGATGATATATTTTCACACGTGCTAAGTCGGTTGGTACAGGATTACAATTTGAGGTGTGAACAGCCAAAAAAGGATAGTTACAGATTATTTTAGTATGGGACTAAAAGAATAGATATGAAAATCATACAAATGAATCTTGGTGTGTGGATATGCATGCTCACATGAATTGCCTGAACAAATTTCTTGTTTAAGAGGTCAAAGGTCCAAAGTCATATGTCATTTTTACTTATGCTCAAACACTTGTTACTCCGAAAAACACTTCAAATGCAATATAAGTATCATAATGAAACTTGACATGTGTTTGTATGATCATGTAAGAATGACCTAATAATTGTTCTCAGTCAAGAGGTCAAAGGTCTTAGATAAAAGTACTACCAAAATATAATGTTACTAAGTGATAACTTGAGAACTAATGAATGGAGTTATCCTAATATATATATTTATGATGACTATTTATGGATTTACCTTAATCAACTTTTGAGTTCAAAGGGTCAGAGGTTACAGGTAAATGCTAAAATATCTTGTTACTGCGATAACCTGAAAACCGTTGTTTGTTTCAAATGAAACTACATATAAGTATATGTATGTCTAGCAATGTACGGATGGATGGCTCTGTAATATTTTGAAAGTCAGGTTGAAGATACTTGAACTACTAGTATATTTTACCAACTAAAGTCGAGAGAATAAAATACTCAAACTAATAGTTAAGTAAATGTAAAAATTCTTGTATTTTATATATAATAATTTATATTTCATATAATATATCTTTATTTTTGTCTACCTACAGACCGTACAAGTTATGAGTTCACCTATCGCCAAGGCCAGTGTGTTTGTTTGTGGAGATGTCACTGCTGCTGCAAAAACTGTCACAGCACTAGGGGAAGTTCTACGAGTTCAGACAATTACAATAATCAACCAAGACACTACAGAAATTGAAGGTATGGTTATCCTAGGTACAGATTTACCAAAGAGATTTTTCCACACGTGATACATTCATTTAGATGTCCATACAAAACGTTGTGCCAAACAGACTATCAGGAGTGCAATTGGCTCAACTTAATTGCTCAACTTAAGCAGTTAATTATCAGGCTAGTCTTTAGTCTTTGCTCTTTGTACGCACTTAAATGTTGTAATACCCCACATCATGCATGACTTCAGAAACCCACCTTATTAAAATATTGTACCAGTACTCAGGGTTACCATTTGAAAAAATGGGTTAAAGCTCCAGATTTCCACCAGTCTGGCCCAGTCTGACTCCCACATACAACTCGCAATTAGTTTTTTTAATGAATTTCATTTCTTAGCAAAATATTTTGATTTGTATTGATCCGTTAGCGGAGGTTGCCGAGAAAGCTGTATATAATACTACTAATATACTTGATTAACAGGTTAAGCAAAGTTTAAGATTTGATCAATATTTGGATTGGTAAAATCATTTCTAATTATGGGGAATAACAGAGATGGTTCAAGTTGCTACTTTGATATTTCTTGTGAAAAAATTCTGAACCTGTAGGTTGGTAAATCAAAATTTACTCACAATTTCACTGTTTAGTTTCTCCAAATTTCTACATACAGTGAACATACAGATATGACTGGGGTCAATTCTATTCTAATCTGACCCTTTGAAACCTCCAAATAGTATCAGGATTAGTTGCCACTTATAGTTGTACACCAGAACGTCTCATTTTCTAGTTTCAATCTTTGATTGCATGGAACTAGAGATTTTTAAAGTAAATTGTGTTTTTTTTTTCTTCTTTTTTCTTTGACAGACAATCAGTCATTTGCTACGGTGAAGTTTGCAGTGGTGGTGTCTGCGAAACCAATAACGCAGACGGTGTTATTCTTAAAAGATCCCAAGGAGCTGGCAAACTTTTTTATAGAGAGTTTAACAAATGCAGGAGATATTGTCCTCGATGACATGAACAATAATGGTGAGTAACCTTATAATGCTTAACAGATTGCAAGTGTTTGCTTTTATTATTCATCCCCCCTAAACAATTCTGAAAATGGGACTTCTTTAAATTGTTCAATATTGACCTGATAGTATGTAGCCCTCCATTCAATTAATTAAAACAAAACAATCATAATCACCTCTTTCTTGGAGGGTGTGATGATTAAAATTAACTCCTTGTCAGAAATAGGAGATGGTAAATGTGTTTTGTTGTCTGCCTCGATTGAAACTACAGTGTAAGGTCGCTGAAGTTTGCCAATCCAGTTTTGTGTATATCATGCGTAGCAGGGGCAGATCCAGGGGAAGAAGCAAGGGGGGGGGGGGGGGTGCACGCTCCCCCACTTTTTCTTCTGAAAAAAAACTAATAAATATTCACAAAAATGAGGGGGGGGTCAATTTGAGCCCCCCCCCCCCTCCCTGTAGTAATTTAGCGTCTACTCCGGAACCGTGGCAGATAAAAAGTTTTCCTTTCATGACTTTTCAAGTTCTTTCGAGTCTTACGTATCTTTAAAACAATTTTTTTTTTTAATCGGACATATAGTTACAAAGTCACATGACCTTTTGTCTCTGATTGTCAGCCTGAAATTCAATCATTTTTGTGATTTGTGTAAAGAACATATATTTTGGAAATATTATTTTTTCTAAAAAGAGATAAAACATTGGTTATTTGGACTTGTTTAAAGTTTAGGGGTTTGTTTTGGAGTCAAAACAGTTGAACTAGAGTTAAAAATAAAATAAAATTACAAAAACTATGAAATACATGAGTTAAAAAACAAAGAAATTATAAAAACAAGAGACAACGTAAGAATTAACCTGGTTCTTCCAATTTTTGTGTTGTATTATTATTCCAAATGGTCTAACAAATATATGTAGTAAAAAAGAATGCTAAATATAAATAATATTTGATTTATGGGTAAAATTTATGACCTTATTTGCATAAATTACCATAAATATGCAAATGAGTGAATTTTTCAAGAAATTTAAATTACCATAGTATTCTATACACTTCACTTGACATGCATGCAAATTTTCGCGGCGATCGGCTATTAAACGGCCAAGATCTTTTTTGGGGGGGGGGGGGGCAAATTGACCCCCCTCTGTAAAAAGCTGGTCTGAAATAGCCAGTTAAAATAGGGTACGTTCAACAATTTTCTTAAGCAGGCTCAGGATTGTAAAGGCTTCACGTCACAATGTTGTACATTTCACGCTCCCCCCCCCCCCCCCCTGGAAACTCCTGGATCTACCCCTGCAAAGTGCCATGTTCCTGCCGCAAATCTTTAAAAACTAACCGTTATTCTGCCGACCATTGTAGTTTTATGTGTATATATGCACGGCCATGCGACTCGGCATTCTTTGCATTTATGAGCATAAAAAATGTTTAACACCAGAAAACATTCTTGTTATGACCTGTAAAAAAGCTGTGTATTTTAATCATTGATGACTAACATATTTATTTAAAATAAGTTGTGATGAAGCTATGAGTCAGTCCCCTCATGCATTCTTAAAAGCCTTAATTAAGCTGTTACTATTAAACCATCTTGTGCTCATTATGAAAATCAGGTTAGTAATGATGTTCCAGCCCAAACTGCCAAATCTTTAAGAACAACCTAAAAGTATCTGTAGTAAAATTTATTAAAATGATTGGCCCCATCTATTTCTGTACAGGTGAACTTGCACGGCAAGCCACATCAATGCAGAGGTTTGGACAGGTATTCAGGGAGGATTCAGAGGAAGGAGAGAGAGAAGAAGGAGAGAGAGAAGAAGGAGAGACGGAGCAACAAGAGGAAGGAGAGACGAAGCAACAAGAGGAAGGAGAGACGAAGCAACAAGAGGAAGGAGAGACGGAGCAACAAGAGGAAGGAGAGACGGAGCAACGCAACATGGAGGGAGGAGTTGATAATGAAAGCACAGAAATCACAGACTCTGAACTATTGGGAATTGATGAATATTTATTTAGTGAATAGTTAATCAGGCCTGATAATTACCTGATTTTTGTCTCGCCTGCGTAGCAAAAAGCGAGCAAGACATACAGTGCAGGCGCCACTTTTCCGTTGACGGCGACAGCGTCAACGAAATTTTAGTATAATTTTGAAAGTATAAGTTCTTACTCAATGAAACTTAGATCAAATGGTAATCAAGTATCCCAATCATGTGAGTAGAATTTCAGGTCACAAAGTCAAGGTCAAAGGTCATTTCAGGTCAACAGACTTGGACTATGTTGTGGCATCATCATCGAAAACTTAACCTCAGGTTAAGTTTTTGAATTTGTAATATAATTTTGAAAGTAAAGGTTCTTATTCAATGATTCTTAGACTAAAGGGTTATCCAGTATCCCCAATCATTTGATATGTCTTTTAGGTAGCAAAGTCAAGGTCAAATGTAATTTGAGGTCTGCAAACTTAGACTTTGTTGTGGTATATATCTCAAGATTTTGAATTTTTAGCATAATTTCAAAAGTGTTTGTTCAAATTCCATGAAACTTGTACACAAGGGTTATCAAGTATCACAAATCATATGATGCAAATTCCAGGTCACAAAGTCCAGGTCAAAGGTCATTTTATTTCAGTAGACTTGGATTATGTTTTTTATGTTTTCACAACTTAATATGAGAATAATTTTTTTTTTTTATTATTTCTTCATATTTCATTAAAGTAATCAATCTTGGAACAAATTATAGTTAACAATTTTTCTGATGATTCTTAGCCAATACTCGATTCGAGATGCTGATTGTATTCAGAAGATTTCTTTTTTTTTTTGGGGGGGGGGGCCTGCTCATAGGCCACCCTGCCTATAAATAATGTCCCAACCTCAATTTTTCATCTTACCAAATCCGTAATGCAGACGAGACCGCCGAGAGCGTTTCCCTTGCTTAATTTTTTTCCCAGATTTTTTTCTTTTCTTTCCTTCCCCCCTCCCCACCCCTGAGTTATATATCACAACTACATATTTTGAGTTTTTCATGGTCGCAGCTCCTAATGTACGGCCGTACCGGGAGCACCAGTAAATTTTTATATTCAATTTTTCTCAAAAGCAGAAGGTGTTAGTGCTAATTTTTATTGTGCTTATAATACATCCACAGGAGCATCCAAATATTTGAGACTAACAGTTAGTGCCCAGTTCATTCGAATAATGCTTATACATGTACCAGCTAATGCTCAATTGTTGTTTTGTTATATAATAGTGCCATGATACCATGTACCTTATAATAATAATAATAATAATATATTCATTTGTAAAGTGCAAGAACTATGTGGATATATTCTACTGTGCTGTAAGTGCTCCTAAATGCTGTGCTATACATACTATATGGACAAGTGAGTTTTGAGTTTTCAGTCTTGATTTAAAATTATCTAATGATGGGGCTTTCCTTATTTCTAGTGGTAATCTATTCCATAATCTAGGGGCAGCACAAAGAAGTGACCGGTCTCTGAGGGTTATTTTGGTTTTATATGGGGGCATTTGCAACAAAAATGTGTCTTGTGTACTACAAAGGTTACAACCATGAGTATGAGACTTGATTTGCAAAAATTCAGTAACGAAAACTAGGAGTTTGACCATTTAGAGCTTTGTAACCTGTCATTAAAATTTTAAATGATTCTCTGGCGAACTGGCTACCAGTGTAGTTCCTTTAGAAGTGGGGTTATTCGAGAGATGGGAGGCTGCAAATTAGTCGTGCACTTGTTGTTTTTTGTATTTTGGACCCGCTGCAATTTGGAAATTTGCGAGTCTGGCAATCCATACAATAAACTAATACAGTAATCTAGATAACTTGTGACACATGCTTATACCAGTTAGTGCCTTGACCGTATTGGATTGTACATCATAAACTTGTGATCTTTAATCAGTTTTTTAATGTTTGTAATTGCTAAATATCTGATCTTTAATCATTTTTTTAGATTGTACTTGCATATTTCTGTTATTTTGATAGCTGGAAGCTAAGGATTTTTAAATTTTTAGGTTCTAAGTTGATGGCATAATTTGTATTTAATTTGTCAATATACAGTTGTACCATTTAGTGCCCAGTTGGTTGGTACACTATTTATACCATTTAGTGTCCTCTATAAGCGTTAAAACAACTTACAGGTTACTAAATTGGTTCAAACGTTATTACAACCTACAGAGCACTAAATGGTATAAGCGTTATACCAATCTAGAGGGCACTAAATGGTATAAGCGTTATACCAATCTAGAGGGCACTAAATGGTATAAGCGTTATACCAATCTACAGGGCACTAAATGGTATAATCGTTATACCAATCTACAGAGCACTAAATGGTATAAGCGTTATACCAATCTACAGGGCACTGAGTGGTATAAGCGTTATACCAATCTACAGGGCGCTAAATGGTATAAGCATTATACCACTTACTGCCCTGTAGGTTGGTATAACGCTTATACCATTTAGTGCCCTGTAGGTTGGTATAACGCTTATACCATTTAGTGCCCTGTAGATTGGTATAACGCTTATACCATTTAGTGCTCTGTAGATTGGTATAACGCTTATACCATTTAGTGCCCTGTAGGTTGGTATAACGCTTATACCATTTAGTGCCCTGTAGATTGGTATAACGCTTATACCATTTAGTGCCCTGTAAATTGGTATAACGCTTATACCATTTAGTGCCCTGCAGATTGGTATAACGCTTATACCATTTAGTGCTCAGTTGATGGATGTAACATTTATCTCAACCAATTAATGTTGCTATAGTAATAAGAGTCATAAGTCTTGTAATTATCTTTTTTTGTTTGTATTTCTGAAATTATCGTGCCCTTTGCTTTACTATGCTTATTTTTCAATACTGAATGTCTTGCTTTACAATAAAAATAAAATTACCAAAACAAAATGATTGAAGGCCTGTTTTATTATTCGTTGCCATTGTAACACATTAACAATTCATGTGTAATTTATAAATTTGATAATTTTGCAATTCATGAAATATTTTAATATTAGGCAGAACCCTCACTTAAAGGGTAATGATAAATTTGTAATTAATTCTGGCTACTGGTATCTTTCATATAGCCTTGAAGAAAAGTAAAAGAGAAATCCAGAACCTGAAAACTAAACAATTTCGGTGTAAATCTGGATTTCTGCTGTCCAGATTGAAATAATTTGTTGTTCCATGTACACCTATGTAGAAAGATGCATATGTAGATTAACGTATTGCCAAAGGACGTTAATGCCGAGCAGGGATTCGAATCCTCAACCCTTGCACTGAGAGTCAAGTGAATGAACCACTATACCACGACATTTCCAACTTTTTCTGAATACAATGTGATGAATCTGTAATTTTGTTTTATAATGTAATGAAGAGATTGAGTAGAATTTGATACATGGATGTAAAACTCAGTCAAAAATAAAATGATAAACTACAACGACTAGTATCATGAAAGGGCAATCGATGAAAGTTTAAGACTTGTCCGGATATCTGCTTGTATAATTTTTTCTATCATTGAGTATCATAATACCGGAAAATCATTATCATATTAAATGCGGAATTAAGATCACTCTAATGATGCAACGAAAACTTATTCACCTCGGTAATTTCTCCTTCCAATGTGTCCAGAGCAGTAGCCGCCGCTTTGCACAGCTCACATCGGTCTTGTGCAAAGACTGAAAAGAAACAGTCAATTTTAAATATTAAGTTTAGTTCTGGGGGGCGTTTCACAAAACTTGTCATCAGTGACAAATGACAGTTTTTGTTATAAGCTACTGAAATCCTTGCTTCTGATTGGTCAACAGCAGATTTGTCACTGATTGTTGTAATTTATCATTGAAAAAGGCTTTGTGAAACGCCCCCAGGTCAGTGGCGTAGATTAAAGGAAGGGGGTACGCACCGGCTCCACCTTTTGCTCGATTTTCCATTTCATTAAAAGTAATACAAAGTTTTGTGAAATTTTTAAAATTGACTGGATAGTAATTCTTTACAATGTTGATGTATTGGATTCCCCTGGATGTGTTATAAGCACTAGAAAATTTAGCCCCTAAAACACTTCTGCTTTCGAGTAAAATCGAATATCAAAATTTCAAATAGCGCTTACGGCCATGCAAACAGAAATAGCCAATCGGTCCACTTTAGTTAAGAAACGTTGTTTTATGGCTTAAATAATATCTTGACCTTGAGAGGGAGCTATACAGCATAAAGAGTTTATTATTTATAATTTCATAACTTTAGACTCGTTTTCAACCGCGACAACAAACACTGACTATTGTAGGATCGTATATGCTTCAAATATGTTCATTTGAACCAAATCCATGACCCCACACCAAAACTTCGTATTACCTTTAGGCGTTCTGGTATAACGACTTCGATCAACTGTATTTTAACACTCGACGCTTTCTATAAAATACCTTCCTTCTTTTGTTATCCATACGTACAATGAGTCAAGTTAACAGCGTTTAAGTCGAACTGTATTTCCCCGGAGCATGGCACACAGTTTTTCTTTACATAACATATGCTTATATCAGTTCAGTTCAGTTTCAGTTTCAGTTTATTTTCATATTTCTCACATGTTGTATAGTACATCATTACATATAGCATGTTATATTTTGAACTCATTTTAGGATGCGTTTATAAAAACAAAAAAAGAATGATACATAAGACTAAGTTGAATAAGGGAAGAAATATGATGCTCATCCATGAAAATATTGAATTATGGTTATGTTGCGTTGTATCATATATTAAGTTTGTGAAATTATATGCAAACAAATTGATAATAACATTAAAATTGAATTGAATTGAAATACTAATTACTAATTTTAATTTAAGTGACACAGATAGTAACTACTTTCGAAATATCAACCTAAGGCAAATTCGATAGCCTTTTGCGTCCCCTATCTGGTTGCATCATACCATTGACATCAAAGAATCAAGGGAATTTATTAATCAGTCAGGTGTATGCATTAATTGTCATTATTTGAGACTGTTTGAATCTTCTTGGTTTCATATACACATCGCCATAATACCTCAGTCACACTGCTAAACCGACTCCAGGGGGGTGTTTCACAAAGATCCTAAGTTGAACTTATCTCTAAGTTGGACTTAAAATTTATGGGAAGCCATTAGCATCCTTGAAAACATTTTTTTTTTTTTTTTTAGAAGGCATAAAATGTTGATTCAAATCATTCATATTTTCTATTATCATGGGAGATTTCATGTTCTTGATGTGGAATTGATG